CTCTGCTTCACAAGAATCACAACTGGCCGGTGTGATATCACAGTCTGCTCGTAGGCCTCGTCTACAGTTTGTCCTTGGACGTGGGCAGAAAGCTTCCGGCGAAGCTAGAGCTGCGGTATAGGAAGTCGGCGGAAAGGAAATCAGGACAACAAGAGCGGTAGAAAGAATGGCGCCCAAGTTCTTCAAGAACGTGTCCAACCTGCTGACCCGCCGAAGCAGCTCCGGCAGAGACCTGGATTCTGAGCGCTCCCCCTCCGACAAGGTTCTGAACGATCAATCCCCTGTTTCTGAAGCCCGCACGTCCCGCCCTTCAGACCCCGAGCCAAAGGACGAGGAAGGGACCTACACTGATTATGGGCTCTTCTTGAACGCTCTCGCGGGCCACGTAGAAGAGCTGCAAGACTCCATTGATTATGACTACCCCGTCTTTGCATACAACATTGTTCAGAAGATTAAGCCGGCGATTGACAATCCGGACGGTCTGACGCTGGCCGAGATGCGCCAAGTGGCGGCGAATGTGTTCGACCACTGTACGAGGGTCGCGGGAGCGGCCAAGATTGCGGCGCAGCTGATGGATATGTCGCGGGGGGTGGTCATACCAGGGGACTGGGACAAGAAGGGCGAGCTGCTACGGGCGTTGAAGAGGCTGGCGCGCGCGCTGTCGGATGAAGATATTGCGCCAATCATGGTCAAAAGTGAGCTCGCTAACCCTCAATTGAGCAATGCAGGGCGCTAAGGGCAATATCTGGAGGTTGCATTAAATCTCTATTGAGTGGTCAAGGCCATACCTTTCATTTAATTTCATGGCTTGCTGGAATCTTGTTGGAATATGGAGGTATGTCGGCAAGGGGCAATGTGGGTTGTGTTGGTTTCTTGTCACCAATGACAAAAAGGAAGTGAAGTTCAATGCTTATGGAGACTCCAAATCAGATAGCATTGCCATCAGAAAGACCAGATCTCATTGATTCCTTATCTTTAGAAAAGTGCATCCTTCTTGGCAAACTGTAAAGAATTTTGTCAATGCCGTGTGGCTCTTGCCGTTTCGTTGGCATTCATGTCAGCAATTGCAGCCGTTTGAGTCCGTTTGAGTTGGCTGCACCAGTATCCTTATGTATGGGCGGATGTCTGACTAGGCATAGCAAGGAGGAGGTTCTGTATAAGTGGCTGCCGTGAGTTGGGCAAGGCTCAATATTTCTTTAGACATAAGGTGAACTTCCGGCATACAATTGACTGCCCGGTAGGCGAAGAATGCAGTTGAGCATCCAGCGGCAGGGCGGGATGAGCAATTCGCCTCCAGACGCCAGTTTTGCTCGCCGAATATTTGAGCGTAGCTAACCCGGTGGAATGACCCGCCTGCTTACGAGCTTGGCAAACCTACAAACCTTCTTCTTGACCAACTGCCCAACCGTCTCTTAACCCGTGCGCAGACCCTGCCGCCTGCCAGTTCCTGGAGCTCCCCGTCTGGTTCGCCACCTGTCGCAAGCCCACTGGCTCCACCACCCCCTCCGCATATTTCGGAACCCAGCGCGGTCTCGACATGGAACTCGGTTACGTCAACGTTTCGGTTCCCGACGTCGACGACATGGCCCTGTCCGGGGCCCCCCTTCCCCACGGTTGGGAACATGATCGGGACCGCGAGGTTAAGAAGAAGAAAAGCCGGTTACTGATTGCCAAGTGCCTGGTTATCCAGAAAGAGCAGTTTGGGTTTCATGTGAAGAAGTTAACCAAGTTAGCGACGGTTAAGGAGGCGGTGATGTACGTGCACGGGTACAACAACAAGTTCTCTGCGGCCGCGATGAAGTTTGCGCTTGCGGCGTACAAGATGAAGGCGGACGCGCCGCTCTTCATGTTCAGCTGGCCGTCCTTCCAGGTGGGCGCAAAAACTTTAAGGTTGAAGATCCTAGATACTTGGAAACGTGATATCCTCACATTATGAGCTGCTGAAAGGTTAGAAAGCGCAATAGAAAGTTGGCACTTCTTCCAGGTGGGTTCGGATACTTAGGAAATAGAAACTCTTGGAATATGCAGTACACCCCTCCTTTTTCCTTTTCCACCGTGGTCGCTTGCGCTTTTCTTCCGAAGTCCGACCCTTCTCAGGACTACACGGAATCGTTTTTCCAAGTCGCCCAGTTCGCTGCTTCATCAGCCTCGAGCTGAGTGCGTATCTGTTAGGTGTCCTTACTTTGTGTAGCTTCAGCATTCTCGCCCACTCCAGCAGCCTTTCAACCACGTCGTGGCTGCTCTTGTCACCTCTGAGCTTTTGTTCGTCTCCGCTGCATCATAGGAGAAGCCAACTCTTGAGATGCATTTTTCTGCCATCGTTTGCCAACTTACATTCGGCTGTGTTTGGCGCAGAGATCTTATAGCATTCTGTCAACTTCTTTGCTCTTGCTCCTGCTCCGTTTGGAAACTTATAAAGCTCTACAACCCTCTCAACCATCGAACTTCCTAATCCAATAAACCAAGCCCAACAGCCTGAGAGTCTGGATTCCAAAACTCCACTGCTCCTTGTGCTTTCCCGCCGTACCAGCTATTCACGGGCGACGAGAAGAGCCCTTTCGGGCAAAACCTCTTCCCTCTTCAGCTCAATCTTGTCCCTTCCTTTCAAGCCCAACAAAGCAAGCTGAGAGAGGAAATTCTAAACTCAGACCCCTTTTCTGTTCCTCGATTCATGACAGCTGGACACGGGCGACAAGGCAAACTCGATGTAAGCGACTTATTTCTTCTTTTCTGCCTCTCCGTTAGACTCCCGAGCCTAAGGATCCACAGTGAAACTCCAGACCCTAAACCTCAAACGCCGTTCCTCTTCCCAGTTGTACCAGCTACACACGGGCGACGAGGCGACGCAATCTGGGCGTTTCCTTGTCTCTCAGTCGTCTCTCAGTCAAGCGTTCGCTCCCATCAAACTCCCTAGCCCAACGTAGCGAGCCTAAAACCCAAAAACTCTCTTAGATTATCAAAGGTCTCTTTGTTCTTTCCAGTCGTACCAGCTGTACACAGGCGACGAGGCAAACGCGATGTGGGCATTTCCTCGTTCTCTCAGTCACGCAATCTTTTCCATCAAACTTCCTCGCCCAACAAAACAAGCCTAAAACTCTCTTGGATTTCTAAAGGTCTTTCTCTTTGTTCCAGTCGTACCAGCTGTACACGGGCGACGAGGCCAACGCGATGTGGGCGGTCCCCCACTTCCTCCATTTCCTCACGATCGCGCTCAAGTTCTTCGGCCTTGAGAAAGTGCATCTAATCGCGCACAGTATGGGAAGCCGCGTCGTCCTCTACTCGCTCGCGCGCCTCGCCCCGGAGCTTCTCCCCGAGGGCTCGGCCAAGCTGGGTCGCCTCGTGCTGGCCGCCCCGGACTTTGACTCAGGGGAGTTCCGGCTCATGGCGCCCGCGCTTGCGCAGAAGGTGTGTCGCTTTTCCCCGCTCTAATTTCCCTACGATTGTCTAGTGGGCGACGGCAAGGGTCAGAAAATTCCACGAACGTACTTCGGGGACGTACCAAAAATGGAACTGCAATCCAAGACAAGCGCTGAACTCCGCGCGTCTCCTGGTGGCATTACAAGGGGTTTGTTTGTGTCAAATTTTGGCAGCAAGGTTCACCCTGAAGTTTCTTAACACCTCAAGAACTCCAAAGCGTTAATATCAGGGAGCTCTTAGAGCAAAGTTGTTTTGGCAGCCACCCAGAGCGCTGCGCTTCGCCCTCAGTGAACGAAAAGGATATTGCCACGTGGCAGTCTCTGCCAGCGTCCTTAAAATAACTCTTGTGGGCTGCTCTTTGCGGCTCATCCGCACCAAACCGTCGTTGGAGAATCTTCCGGTGTTCAAAACGCTGGCCTATAAGATCGGGAGCAACCGTTTCTGGTACAAGATAGAAACCGGCCCAAAATTACTTTACATGGTCAAGCGGACTGAAGAAAGCGGACAAACGTTCAAAGGTCTTACTTATGCCTACCTGCTGTCATATTTTGGCTGATCCACACCCTCTTCCGTTCCGTCGATTCGCCTTCGCTGTTGCGATTCTTCATCTAGTTCTACTATATCTCCCCCCCTCCATCTTTGCCACGTGGATTGGACTCTCTTCCCGCTGAAAGCCTAAGCCTGTAGCATCAAGCTTCTGCGCAACAATTCAAACCCGCCCTTTCAGAGATCATTCACGTCGCCCTCTCCATTTGCGTTCAGATGGAGCATATCACGGTCTACTGCGCCTCCGACGACCAGGCCCTCCAGCTGTCGACACGTGTCCACGGGGGCCACCCCCGGCTGGGCGACTTCCGGCTGACGTCAGCGAAGGCCGACGTGCACTCCCCCTACGGCGACGTCGAGAACATCGACACGATCGACGCGAGCGGGCTGGAGTCAGGGCTGGTGCGTCACGGGTACATCTTCTCGCACGCGGGCGTTCTGGAGGACGCGTGCGAGTTCCTGAAGACCGGAATTCCGGCGGAACAGCGGCCCGCCCTGGCCGCCAGGAAAACGGAGCACGGGCTGACGTACTATACGTTCGTGGACCCGTCGCATAAGGCGTCGGTGATCGAGCAGGAGATGCCGGAGGAGAACACGGCGGACGAGAGCGGCTTCGTCCGATAAGGGGGGGGCGCTTTTGTGCTCTCGAAACAATGGGAGCATCTACAGTGTATAAAGAATGGAGGAAGCGGGGCCGCACATAAGCGCGGATTAGTTGGTGCTCCTTTGGGAAAGAAGGGTGTTTATAAGCATGGTCGGGAAACGCAACCCCCTGTTAGGGTGCGGCACTGATACGAACAGGTTTTTGACCGAGAAGACGCATGTGTCTCCGAACGCTTAGCAAAAGCAACAGAGAGAAGCGAACCCGTAAAAAGTTGGCAGTAGTTGAACTCATGATGCCGCGCATTGAAGCCTGCTGACCACATAACGTTGAGGCTATATGGTCACTCGAGCGCAGTGCCAATAGAAGGCTTACGTAGGATTTTGTCAGAGCTGAAGTTGACCTTGCTTTTGACCATGTTGAGGAGCTTGTTTGACAGAAGGCCGGGTCTCCATCATTTTTCACACGGTTGAGTTGTCCATTTCGAAATATAAACGTATTATTATAAGGTCTTTCAAACCGCGTAGCTATTTCAACGCCTGGTCTCAGTCGCCGAGTTTTCGGTCAGAAAGTTCTTTCGAGCGAAAAGCTGCCGACGGTGCCAGGAACGGCTCAAACTTAGTTGTCAGTGACATCAGTGAGGACCAACTTGTGCGCCAGCATGCTATGTCAAGAATGTTTTTATATGCATAGCTGAAATCAATTAGCTTCCATATGCCGTGAGATCTGGGCATGTCTGACGATCATTCATTCGGCGGCTCGCTGGCAGTTAGTGGCTCACGTACTGACGCATGGCCCATGTGCCACCGTTCGCCAGCTGTACGCTTGTAGGGGGGAAGAACCAATCTCAACCAAATGCATCACATGTCAATTATGACTAGTTGCGTAAGTGTATGCATATCTCATCAGGACTCGTCATGGCATGCAGGATTACGACTAGCGGCCAGGAACTGGACCGTCGGCCCGGCCATTGAGAGCTTAATGGCTCGTGCAAGAAGGAGGGCAGCCTAAAGACCCACCGGACATGCATGAAGAAGGGCATGAGGTAAGGGCATCCGACTTGCCGACAGCGTAAAACGTCTGACGTGATGAGCAAACGCAAAAAGATCAGGTTTGATGAGACACGATTAACGGTAGCGTGGCAACTGGCAAGATTGGCGGCGGACTTCATGCATCTTATGCCGGCCGCACGCTTGTATCTAGATCCGACTGAAACGGATGCACTGCAGCCTTCGTCTTCCGAAGATCATCTCGTCTTATCCGTTCCGACTACGTATATGTAGCAGCTCGCCAGCTTCGGACTGGTCGGAACAGTAGCTGGTGCAAGAGTCTGACCGCCTTCGGATTGCGATTATGTCGGCCGAATCCTGCAGATCACGTTCCTAAACTGCGGCCTCCAAAAGTCTTCTCTGATTAGTAACAAGTTTACAAGAACTGGAAAAACAACCGAAAACCTACGTCACCGGCCAATCCACAAAAACGTCCCATACGTACCCTCCTGTTTCATACTAGCATGCAGTGAAGCTCAACTTACACGACTCCTTCCGGCCCTGCCGGATGATGCTTGCAGTGGACCTTGTGGGTCGCCCAGTGCACCTTCTGGTGCTCCTTACTGCATCAAAACGCGTGTTACATGAGAGAATGCAAACGACAATCATGATTGAATTTGCAATTCCCGAGTTTCCCTGTGCATAAATGCGAAGCATTCCCACGCTTTGCATCAGAGCTTTAGGCACAACCAAACACCTTTTGAAGTAGGAAAGAACAGCTCCCAAAAGCAATCTATCCGAGAGCAGTCAAGAATAACATCTCGAAGAAAATAATCATCTGGAACTCGCCCACAACTCCGGCACTCTTTCGAACCTCGCAATGGCTCGACGATCATAATTACGCGCTTCCCTTGTCCGCATTAATTGACCAAGACAGCTTCAATTTGAAAGAATCGCAAGCCGTCCAATTGAGAGCCTGCATCAGAAGCTTTGGAGAGACCTTGAGATTTTTGCCTTAGAGGCTTAGAAGAATGTTCTACGTACAGGCTTGAGACGAAGGACCAAAACGATTACAAGGGTACTGCTAGTCGTGGTTCGCAGAGTCGATAGATATAGCCGCTTAGTTGGAAACAAAGGCACAAAGAATGGAAGAACACAAAGAACGTCGCTTCGTGTTACAAATGAGGGCAGATCCTCGTTTCCAGTTTGAACAACGCCCTCAACAGAGAAAGTTAAGGACATCTTCGTCTTAAATTCTAAACCTTCAAGGCTCCAGATCTGAGGGAAGCCGGCCGAATCACCGAATTCTGGCATACCTGCAGTAGCGCGCGACGCGGCCGCCGCCCGCACGCGCTAAACCCCTTCCCAACGGCGGGCTCGCGGCCGGCCGCGCACTCTTTTCACGAACAAACAACATGGGCCGGGGGCCCGGGGCGGACCCGGAATCTGCCCGGGCGATTTCGTGTCGCTAACCCACCGGACTGTAGGCGACGCGCGCCGGAACCTTCCGGAGAACGAAACTTCCCGGGAATCGAGCGGAGTCCTGATAGCTCACAAGGTCTTCCGAGACGCCATGAGAGACTCGCTGGATCAGGGGATCGGAGCCTATTTGTACATTTCAGAACCCTTCTTTGAAGGTGCTTTGAAGCAGAGTTTTTCGGCAGCCTGCCTCCTCCGTCGGACAGTGCGCAGAGAATCCGGTACAGCTGTCCGGTCTCGCGGTCAGTCTGGCGCTCTCAGCAGACAGCCAATTGTGGGCGATTGACATGGGTTTGCTCAAACTAGTAGCAGCAATCTACGAAGCATCGCCCCTTCAAGAGCTGTCCGCCGCGAGGGTCGAATCACTCCAGCGTTCCGGTGCAACAGAGGTGCAACAGAGTTCTGTTCCGCTTGCTTGTGTCGGAGTTTACAGTGGCAAAAGTCCGCGCGCGCAACGCGCTCGTCACGTTCCGGCCCCACCGCAGGAAGATCAACGGAGCGGAACCGGACTCGGAGATGCTTGGGGTTTACACCCAGTGCGCGCGCATATTCGGCTAAGGAGTGGAAGTGTGAGGAAGAGCGCCATAACGGAACCGCCCTCGTTCCGTCCCTCCTCAAGCAGCGCTCCACAACAGCCTTGCTCGCGGAAAGGCTTCCGAGCGCCAAGGTAAAAAAAAAAAATCAACAATCGAGGCGTGCTGTAGCAACCCTTTTCGCCCGGGGGCTACTGGGAGAAATCATCAGCAGATCGCCGGAAAGAAAGTGCAAACATGAAACTGGAGTCGCGGCCAGGATTTGAACCCGCAATCTATCGTGAGTCGATGTTCGCTGAGTCCGTCGGTCTCACCACTAGACCATCCCCCTAAAAACCCTTGAGGCACTTTCCAATATGTCTGATCTGCGATTCAGTCTCGCAACGTTTTAGTAGAGGTCGCAGCAGGTTCCCTAGTACGACCTGACGACCCCCCCGCGATACGCAGCGACCTCCTGAGCGAGCCTGGAAACGTGTCCGCAGCAGCTAGGGTTTCAGCTGTTTGCAATTAGGAGTCGATGACAGTTGAGCAAAAGTGCCATTGCGCCCACTTCGCCCCACTGGGGGCGAAGTCCTTACTGATGTCGACAGACGGTCTGTCGACATCAGTAAAGAAGCACAGCGCTCCACGGCGACCTCGTCCATGTGATCTAGTTCCTCCATCTTCCGGGAAATACATATAGTGTTGAGCCAAGAATGATGCTGGATAGACGTGTTGCACTAGGAGCAATGCTGAATACCTTGCATCTCCTCTTTCCTAGCTTCTGTGCAACGGCGCATACACTGTGCGCCCGTCATTCTGGCACCTCCTTGAGCCGAGGGTCAAACAATTGATAGCAACCAACTCTGATTCTCTTCAAAGAGAGTGCGGAATTTCATGCAATCATAGCTGTCAGAGGCGCTCTTCGATTGAATTCACGCATGGGGTGCACATATGCAGTTGGTGGCGGCCTTCAATTGCAACAAGCATCATGATGTAATCGTGAGAAGAGCCAGATTGAGAGCCGTGTTTCACAAATTAACGTCGGGTTAACGTCACTGCGCGTTGACTCGACAGCTGTGACATTAGCAAACGAAAGTCCCTGCGACAATCAGACTCGATGATGATAATGACATTTTTTGAGTTTTCACGAGGCAGATCGTAAGACACCTGGCACATGGTGAGGCTACATCTTTCAAAAACGAGATGTGCGCAGTGCCATGAGACGAACTGACGAAGGTCGGACCTACTACTTAGTGCAGCGGTTTTTCAAGAAATCGAAGGCTGCCAGCTTGGTAGTCGAAACCTCAGTGATCGCTTTTGCATAGACTCTAAACGCGAAAGCAAACTCAGTGTATTGTAGTTGGTTGAAACTTCAACCTTACTTCCTTACAATATCATGGAGCTAGAGGTAATATATCAAAGGCGCTTTTTATCGGGCTTCAGAAGTGTTGCAACCAGCTCGATTTGACGTACCAGTCTTCGGGTCAGAAACTAGAATGAATAAGATCACATCCATGAGATGTATCAGCTGCCACTCCATACTCGTTGTTGTCACTGCTTTCAGAGTCACTCAAAGAACGCTGAATTCATTGCAGCGCTCATGACTGGTTGCAGCGAGTGTGAATACTTTGCTCATGGGGGTATGTAACGTATATGCCAGCTTGTATTAGCATGATGCATATACGAAGGTGTAGCTCGACGGCGACATACATACATATTGATACATCAATAACACGTGGATGATTTAATTGGGACCATGGTTAAGGCTAGGCGCGCCTAGCCCATAATAATGGGCGACCAATAACAATGGCCCGTCGTCCCAAACCCCTAAAAGGGGTCGCCAGAACTGTTTGTGTGTGATGACCTGGGCTAAGGCCGGTACGTGGCCACATATTATCACACCCGATCACATGCCCCTAGGGGCCTATTGCAACACCCGTTTACACCGTTCAACCCATTGTCCATCGTGTAGCACAGTATCGTCCACACTGATATCATGTATGAAATTGATACTTTGCGTCCAATTGAAATTCTGACAGGTTATGTTTGGGCAAATTTCCAATTGCGTGATTACAATCCTTCGGGAAAAAACATGAGTTGAGGTGTAGCGGTCCAGAGGAGTACTTTAGGGTCTTTGGGATACAAACATTGAGCTCAAAGCTGTCTCTGCTCGATACGGCCCCTCGCCTTCCCTCCGTGTGATTGCTTGCTAGAAGCCGGCTGCAAATGCAACGAGCAGGTAAGATGCTGTGAGCAACCAGAAGCTGCAACGCGGGAGATGATGCTTCTATTTCCACAAGGTTTCGTGCTGACCTGACCTACTCCAATCGCGAATCATGGTTAAACTCGATACTTTAGCAAACGCAATTCACTGAATCAGGAAGCAGATACACCGTTCCTTCGTCAAGATCATGCACGGTGGCAAAGAACTGTCTTAAAGACTTACCCCAGTCGAGGTTCTTCTCGACCATGTTCTCTAACTCGATTTTGAACACCCTTGACGTAACAGCGATATCGTCTCGTTCGCCCCCAGCACAGTTCACTCCCACCACCCTTCCCTTCTCGAAGGATGGTCCCCCGCTCAGCCCCCGCCTCCCCCAGCCCTCCGACCCAAAAGACTTTCCGGGTCCCAGCTCGATCATGAAATGCCCCTTGTCTTGAAGAAGCTCCACCGGGCTCCCCGACTCGGGGTCCATTCGGCCGAAACCGACCTGAAACAGTAAAGTGTGCGTGTTTCTCGACACATTGTCAAGTGTCTGTACTTTCAGACCACTGTACTTGAGCTGCGAACCTCACACGCACGGCCTTCATGAGGGGCATACTTGCCAAGCAAAGGGGGCACATGTTCTATATTCCCAGCAAGACGGCCTTCAAAGCTTGTAAAGCACCCCATGCTTTACCAAACAGATCTTTCAATAGTTCGTCCTGAAGGCACTTCCATCGAAGAAGTCGTGCATAAGCTGTAGCCTTTTCCCGTTCCTCCTACGGGCCCCTTAGAATAAAGGCAAGATCCCCTAAAGTCAGGTATTATGCAGGTTCAACAAGAGACTTCATTTCAGCAACATTCCATCGCTTCACGCTTGGCTTGCCGCAGATCTAGGCACGTCACAAACTTGCAGCCGCACTCTCGAACCAAAGCTCATTCAAAAAAGACAGACGCATCCGAGGGGGCTTGTAGACTCGAGGTTTTCACCTTCACAATTTGATGCTTTGGTGTTAGGAAGGTGCGGCCCAACGTGGTGGAGAGGGCGGGAACCACCTTCGATACTTCCTCTGTTTCTCTCAAGGGAGCAACTTGGAGGACGGCATAGTCACAATCATAGCGGGCCCTCCGGTCACGGGCCTGCATTTGGTCAAAAAGGGACTTTCAAGTTTGTGAAGCGTTCCACATAGGCAAGCACGCTGACGATCTGACGTAAGGCTTTGTCCGTGTGCTTGTATGTCACTTACAAATCATGCTCTTCTTATCATAGTTTGTAATGAAACCATTCAAGATGTGAGCTACCAGCTGCTTTCAAGATGCAAGTATGGCTCTCAATGCCTGGCTATACTCAAAAACGTGAAGGTATCAAGCGCTTATACGTCTACGAATCAGATTCTTTCTTTCTCAGGCGAGTCGAAGTAACAACCTGTAGCCAATGGGTTGCAAAGGACGTCAAAGAGCACTCTTGTCTCAAGTGAAAGTTTAGTTGACATCAAGATTCTCAAAGTGTCAGTGTCTCACCTCGACGTAGCTCTGCGGCATAGCCACACTCTTGACTGTATAATCGTTGTGACCGTTGCCGTCGGGAGTCATGAATCTGACGTGCGCAGCCTCGATGTCCTTGAGGGGGTGAAAGAGGTGCGCGGAGGAGAGAAGTCCGTCGGGTCCGACTAGGGCATCCGCCCCATCGTCGCCAAACTCGGGCCTGAACGTTGAACCAAGAATGGCTCCCTCCTTCTCGTTGTCGACAAAGACCCGTCCGATGGATGTAAAAGGAGCCACCGTGGGCTCATCGACAACCTAGATAAATGGAGAGCAACCTGATTCCTCTAGATTGCCCATAAAAAGTCAAGCCCAAGAGTCACTTAAAATTCGACCATCCTCGAAGATGAACAAGCACGTGCTATCACCAGGTACTGCAGATCCATGTCTTTCAAGAACCAACATGGTTGTGTCGACAGGGAAAATTGTGGTAACCAAGCATCTACGGCCTACTTGTTGCCCTCGAGGGCCAGAGCAGACAAAAGCTTCACGATCTAACAAGATTCCCGTCCCATTTGGATGCTCGTCAAGTGAGAAACAAGCTAAAGCCTGTTTACCTCGCATCGCTGACACTTCATAACCGCATCAGACCTGGCACGGATCGAGTCGTGAACGATCTCTGGGCGGCGATGGTGCAATTGACATAGATGTGGTTTGCTCTTTAACTACGACAACCTGCATCAGAGAGAGATTGCTGAAGGAGAAAGGAATGATCTTCTTACCTCTATCAAGCCCTGCTTGCCCTGCAAGACGTAGATAACAGGATAGTCAGTGAGGATCAATCGACTCGATCGACTGTGAACCAAAACCAGAAAACCTCGCAGCCGGACTCAGTGATAGAAGAGGGTGCTCATCAACAAGGTCTGATTAGATTCCTCCATGTAAAGCCAGACTGTTGTACAGTCCTTACCGTTGCTGCCCACCTGGGCTTCTTCTTTTTGTTCTTCTGTGAGCGCAGTATGCTTGATCCTCGACTCGCTTCAAGAGCCTGCAAAAGAGGAAGACCTGGATGAAAGAGGTATATGAAACCAGTGCGGATGATCCTCGCTACCGGAGCCTCATCAAAAACCTCGACAGGACTCTTCAACAAATAGACCCACGTTGAGGTCTGACTATGCTCTCATTTACTGATGATTTCCTCAAGTCCCTAAGTTACTTAAGAACTTCCGGAAGAACTCACCGTCTGGTGGGCCGCTGCATACAATGCCTTGAGCTCTGGAAGACCCTCTGGCACGTCGTAATCTGTGTCAGACTGGGGGTCATAAGCCTCCGGGGAAAGGTAGCCCCCAATCGCGATCATGTCGCCATACTGCAAATGAAGCCGGCCAATTTTATACAGAGGTAAACAGACCCCAGGAAAGATGGCAAAATCGCTGCCTTGAACCATCAAAAGCCAAGCGCAATGGTCCATGATATGCAGGTGTCTTTTCCTGCGAGGGTCTTGTTCTTCATTCTTTCATGGAATTGTGCAATTAAGACCAGGTATAGCTTTAGACTGGGAAGGTTTACCTGCTTAAGCGCATCCTGCGCCTCGTTTGGAATGTCATAGTTGGTGTCCCTTTGCGGATCGTAAATGGCAGTATCTGGCGATGCCTGCACAAACTAACATCAAATAAACGACCCATTTTTGGATTTTGCAGGTTGATCACCGGGACTTGCAGAGGTTGCTGAACCCTCCCTGTAACGCATCTGTTCATAGCTTCTCAAATGAGATTAGAAAGTCCCTACTCACAATTGGCGCCACGCGCGATTCAGAGCAGAGAACAGGGATAAAACACCTTATCATGATTGTTTGTAAAATCACTCTAGGCTGGATGAAAATAACACTCATATTACGGTATTTGCATGGGGCCTGAAGGTTGAATCAGTACATTGTGGGCATGAATCATAGTCACCACCATGCAGCGGCAACCAAATAAGTTGGTAATTTGCACTCCGTGCCATGGGGCAAAGTCTGAGGCCTCAGTCTTAAAGCAAGCACTTACACTTGTTGTGGACAGCGAATCAGGTGCGCCCTCCCGCTGGGACAGCAGGCCCGATGCGCCCTCCCATGGGGCGCGAGTGGCCACTTCCTCGGGCGTCTGCATTACACACAAACTTCTGACTCAAATCTGCAGCTTGTTCTGCAAACTCCAAAAGAAAGCAGATGTCAAGACAGTCTCCTGATGAAGCATCAAGTTCCAAATCTTGATAATCCACCCTTTGGAGCTGACAAAAAGTCATCCTACGTTGAGCACGCCAGTATCAACTGCGGCAACTCTCTGCTTGATACATCAATGTCAAGAGTGGTTCTGTTTTGGAGGCTGGAGTTTTCGAAATAGACGCAACTCGAACAATGCTGCTTCTATTGCATGTAGCTGTTCCCTTCATATGAAACCTGAAAGGACAAACGCATGCTTGTGCAGTACAGCCTCATTCATCTGAATCATAGTGCCAGTCAGGAACCTCAATCTGCTATATAGCTTATTGGCATGGAAGTAGAGCTCTCTTAACAGCAACAGCAGCAAATTGATATTTGGATATGTGGGTGGCTGCTATTTCAGTCTCTGAAATCAGGCCAGCCATCAACCTCTCCATTCATCATGCGAAATGGTACCGCATAGTTCTGTGCAACAAGATGAAGCATGCAGTTCCATGCCAAGGCATTGTACATATATCAAGGAAAAGAGCAGGACTGCAGACAACTTACCTCTAGCCCCAATTGAGACAGCCAACCGAAGGCATACAACAGCTGCCCAGCCATCCAGCCTCCCCTTCCTCTGCGGTCAAGCTATGATTAACCTCTTGTCACGGCCACCTAGTTTCTGCTAATCTGAGAAGTCCGCCGGCAAACGGCCTTGATCTTGAGAGGTTTCCCTAGCTTGTAGAAGACCTCATTTTGCAAGCAAAAAGGCTCACAACGACATGCTTGAAGTGCTTGGAACGGAGGATCTGGAGGATGGCCAAACCAAATGCCAAATTAATCATCCAATGGCAAATATTTGACTCGACTCAGCAGAAATTGTTGAAGAGTTATAATATAAGTGACATAGGGGGATGGTGAGCACTGAGTACCCAGCCAAAGGTTGCAATGAAAGAGAACTGACGCATCTGGGAATCGACCGCCAGTTTCTCTGCCGACGAATCCGACATATACAAAAAAGAGATTGTGATATCGACGGTGTACAATACATGAGATTGATCCCCTTTTTTCCATCGACGGTGTAAATCAGGTACAATTCCGTCAGAGTAAACAAGCACGAATCACAGTACCTAAATCGACTCGGTCAGAGAAAACCGAGCCTCCAAGCGGTCAAAAGTGAGCGGCAAGTGCACACGGTCACATTGAACCGACTCATGTCACAGTATTAAACCGACTCGGTCACAGTTAACTGAGCCGCCATGAGTACGAAAGTGAGCGGTGAGTGTACACTCAAACAGTGCTACAGCATATATGAGCAAAGCCTCAGTGTGAAAATGCGCAAGAGTGTGCTTATTGAAACCTTTGAGTGTGAGACGATTATTCTAGTGTGAGTGCCTGTTTACACCTTTTGAAACGCATTAGGCTCGTTGCGACCTGAGTGTCCATCATTGGCATCAATCGTCGGACGTCTTCCAAGTTCCGATCCACGGTTCTCGAATTTTTCCAGGATGAGTCTCGACTCTCAATGGTTTTAATCGATCTGCTAGTGCAGATCGCGGCGCGCGACCGTCGAGCATAATTCTCAGGAAAGAATCAAGATAATATTAAGCCAAGATATTGTAATAGTAAGCTCCGACTATCACTAAAAACCCTAACCCAAAAAGATGCCTGCTCCGCACCCGTATCCACCCTGTTCACCATACTAACCCCACCCGTTCCAGTGCGGTTACCTTACTATTATCTCGGCTTATCCGGAAGCACGCTTTTGCTTGCATAATATTCGGCGAACTGAGGGCGGCATATCCACGCTCCGTCGTCGCTGTGTGACGTCATGTGGGCCTGGACGCCATCCGACGATTTGCAATGGCAGCCACGGTATAGGGGGAGTTCCCACGCGGCGGGCCGGGCCGGGCGGCCGCGCACGGCCTCGCAAGCAGTCGGCCGCCAACTTCCCCAGTACCATTCGCTGTATTAAGTATCGATCATAGCGCGATTGGCTAGCTGGCCAGTTGACTCGAGTCGATCAGGATGATGCTCAGATGTGCGGGATGTTGCCACAGTACGGCGGCCACTAGAACATCTATCCGGAAGCATGGTCAAGTGGATGAAAGGCTCATGTTGCTTGCACGACCCCATGGATTGTTGTAGATGGGCTCCGCTCGCTTTAGTGTCTCTGCACGATCTCTCGGCAAGGAGATTCAATCAGCATTCGTGTCGTGCTAGGCACCGTCCGGCCGGGGACCTGCATGCTGCACTTGTGTTGCTTGCATGGCAGTGACCGCAGGCAGGCTAGCCGGACCGGCCATAATGCGATAGGCATGCCTGATCCAGGTTCAACCGTATGGAAACACATTCTCGACACGTACTTTACAAATGATGGGCTGACGCATGAAGTGTCAGACTCATTGCACCTCAAAAGTGCATTCCTGATGTGCACTTTGCTGCACGAGGAGAACTCGATCACACTCTGGGGGCTTCATGTTTGGTGTGAGACAAGGACTTTGGACACACCATATGTGGCACCATCAAGATCGATAGACCTATCTATGGACCTACCCCTAACGGTACCTTGCAACCCAAAGTGGAGGTTTGCACCTTGTACATGATTGTCCTAGATAAAATACACAACACCTTATTTCAGACCGGGACAATCTGCGTGCGTCATCAGTCCCGCTCAAGCACCTCACCTGCGCTCTGGGAAGTCGGAATCGGTTCTACCGCTTTCTGCAAAACCTCGAAAGCCTCGAAGCTGCTGGTACCGTTCGACAATGTGCTATTTCTAGCGTGCAACTCGACCGCGAGCATCACTTCGTCCTCTATCCTCTCTATCTCTTGACCGGGGTCGATCAACGGGTCTTCGGGACTCCCAGTTCTTACCTTCGCCCGCTCTTCGATAACTGGCTCCGGCGAAACGGGAGGAGACGCGGGGTGAAACTGCATACACGCTGGCGAACGAGAATGGCGGTATATACTCTGCCCGTCCTTGCGGGCAGTTTGCCCGAGGGAGCCCCTCACACTGTCGCCCACCTACAAGCGAGGCATGAGATATAAGAAAACGGACAGAAAACTTGCTCTGTAAAACAGGCGCTTTGGGAACCTCAAGACAGAAAGATATGTTAGAAGAAACGCGGGTCCAAGTGAGTCTTCTGGGGAGCGTCCATGCAACAGCCGTCATGGGCTTCGGAGATGCCAGCACAGTGTGCGCTGCTTTAATCGTGCACGCTTCGGAGGTCGGTACACACCTCTGAATAAAGGCAGTAATCATCATAAGCAACAAGAATACTGCCAGCAGCCGTCAAACAACGACTTGCACCGCTGCTAACTCGATTACAGGTCCTGAAACCACCTTGTTTACATGCACGGTGCCAGTCACGGGGCAAGCAAATATCCGCCAGCGCCGCTGCCAGCTGGCACCCGTTGCAACACGAGCTCGGTCCTTGACCGCTCATGAAACGCAAAAGCTGACCTCGACTTGGAATTACTTTTACCCAGACGTTTGTTTAACCCAAGTGTTTTAACCCACCTTGTTCGCAAACACGTGCCACTCCACGTCCTTATGGTCCGCGAGCGCCGCCGCCAGCTGGCGCTTGTCGGGCCGCAGCGTCGGGAGCTTGCCCCGACCGTGGAACATGCGCATGCCGGTCACGAGCGATGACAGCTGGCTGCCCGGGTCGGTCATCGCAAACAGGTCGGCCGCGGAAGCTACGATGAAGTCGAGCGCCGCCAGCTGGACGGCCAGGATGCATTTGCTTTGGTAAAAAATGCTGACCAGTGCAACTTTCAGTACGAAAGTACCCGTGATAAGCAACCGGAGGCATCCATGACATGCAACCAGGATCAGTACGCAACCCGCGATAAGTAGGCAAAAGACGGGTAATTTAGCGCGGGGTTAGGGTGGATAGGGGTGCGGAACCTGTTGTACATCTGGTTAAAATCTTCGCGCAGGGTTTGGAGAATATTGTCAGTCCAGGGGGCGGAAAACTCCTGTGTCCTCGAATGGAAGCCGCTCTCGAAGAAAGCTTAATATACCAGTATAACTTGTTTACCGTCTGTAGCGTTACTCGTTGTCTGTGCTGTGGAGCTCCCACGGTGACGGACGGTTTTTGGCGCTCGTCCCCTCATTTATCCGGTTCTGCTTCCTTTCGATCTTCGTGGCTTCAGTCTCGTTCTTTTCTGAAACTTCATAACCAGGAAACAGGCAGCACAAGGAAGGAAAGGTGGCCTGAAAAGATTCGTCTTACAAGTTGAAGAATGGTAGGAACGGGCAGAGTTCGGTACCGCTTTCTGGCCCACCTTGGCTCGAGAACCGGTGAACGGCGCCAACTCCTCCGGACTGGCTAGCTGTTCCTTAGTCACGAAATAGGGGTACAACCCCCTAAGCGGAACCAGTCTGTCGGCGCCCCCCCAGACCTCCGCGGTGGTCAGGTAGATGCGGGTGCGCCTTTTCACACCAAGCGCCGCCAGCATGAGGACAGCCTCCTCCGGGGTGAGTGGACATTGGCCCGTCTTGCGCTGGGTCTTGGGGTCGGGCGCCCTGGAAAGAAGATGCGAAAACGACTGACGTCAGCAAGCCGGAGCCTTGTGGGGCCGGAGAAAACAGCTTCTCGCTGACGTCAGCCCGGGTATCACCTGGAGTCCTCGGCTTGGACAAGGCGTATGCGTCTAGAGTCATTCCGATAATTTAAAAACAGCCAGAAATGGAGTCAAGCAGAACGCACTGAATCAGGACCTTACTTATGGGCTCTTTCAGCGCAGGAGCTGTGATGGCTGCGTAAAGGAGAGACTGAGTAGCTTATTTGATAGGTACGTCGGCCCAGTAAGAAGTGGTGCCTCGACGACGCGACAATGGTTTTGGGAGAGACCAGGCGGGACCGTCCGTGGTATCGCTTCTGGAAGTATCAGTGACAAAACAATCCTTTCAGGATGAGTGCATGATTCCAACTTGTCTCTCCGTGCGAGCAATGGCCAGGCATCGGCTATCAATGTAGACTCAACCTTTCACAACGAATTTTTTCCTTCAACATTGGGTAACGTATCGACCTTCGAACGCTGACCCCGTCACTTCGATATTAGTGAAGGTAAACAACACCACCGAGACGCTTGAGTTCAGCACAATCTAAGAGACTCAGTTGCGTGACGACTCACTTGCCGTTCCGCTCCCACCGCGCAAGCGCCTCAAACTGCGCCTCCCTCAGTCGCCTCAGCTCTTTCCTTTCTTCCTCCCCGCCCCCAAAATCGCACATCGAAAACGCCGCCAATTTCGCCGGAAAGTTCGCATGCAGCGCCACAAACCGCACCGGCCACCGCTCCTCTTCCTCGTACCGACTCCGCTCGACATCCACCGACACCCCTAGCCGTTCCCCGGGTTTCCCGGACCCCGCCCTGCGCCCGGGTTTCTCGGGATCGGCCACCGTGATCTCCTCCCCGACCGCCGGCGCGACACGTGTCCTCTCCGCGAGCCCCTTGGTGTCGTCACCAAGAACTAGAGCGGTCTCGACATGCACGACCTCCATTCCCTCGTCCCTCTCCAACACCGTGAGGGTTTCGTCTTTCCCGAGCTCGCGCCCCGGGCGCGCGCCGGCGCGCGCGCTCTGCTCCTGCTGCTTCCGTTTCCGCTCGTCGCGGAGCCGCTGGTTCCGCATGTACCGCTGCACCGCCTCCGGCAGATGGCTGATGTCATCATCCGCGCCCACGTCCTCTGCTAGCAGCCGGCGTTTTCCGCCACCCCTAGTTCCCACCAAAACCTCTTCGTCCCTACTTTCTACTGGCCTTCCCCTGCTTCCAGTATTCCACACAGACTCCGTGCCACTGCTCTCTTCCACATTCGCCCCGCTCGTTGTTTCCAACGCGTTTCCGCCACCCCAAGTTCCTTCTACAGCTACCCCGCTTTTAAGTTGTCCTTTGCCCCTACTTTCTACCGCACCTTCTAGCAAACCTATTATACCGTTGTTCCTATCTACTTCGGGGTCTTCCACGAGACTCTCTTGTTGGTCGTCTCTTTCCAGGGACGTAGTCCGCCCCGCCATTTGCGCCCCCAACCTCTTTACCCCCTCTTCCGTTTGCAACACGCGCCTTCGAGGGCGTTTCTCCGCCCCGAAAGCAACCCCCACTAACTCGTTTGATGTAACTGACTCCGAAGAGTCAGCTTGACTAGTCTTCCTACTCCTATACGAGTTGTATTCTGAGCTACTCGAGCGCATCCGGTCGATCAGAAGGCGACCCATGGCCTGGATACGCGGCTGGAAGCGTAGCGCATGAAAGTTCACGCGGCACCTTAGTTTCTGCAATGACAAGAGGCTGGTTTTAGGTAACCCGCTTCCCTTCAAAAAGCCAAAGGTTACGAACTCGGAGGCAGGTGCTTTGTCTTTCGAGAGTCGTTTGAAAGTACTTGCTGGTAAGCTGACCCTTGGACCTGTTTAGAAACAAATATTCCTTCCAGTCCTGCAAGTAAATTCCATGACAACTTCGTTTCATGGCAACACGTCGAGGCATTTTGTTGAGGCATTTTGGAACAAGATAAAGGAAACGCCTTCATAGGCCGTCCACACCAGACCCAATTGGCACCAAAAGCGAGGAATACAACGTGCGCGAAACTTCGCACTGGCAGTCGGGATATCCCCGGCGGTAAGTAATGTCGCACATCCTCAAAAAGTGTTCTCTATACCTGGATTTCTGGAGGGATGGGGTCGAAGGCCAGTCGGTTGACGAACTGCCTCAGGTGGACCACGCGGTTGGTCCGGAGCACGGGCAGCAGCGTCTCTTCGTACAGCCGCAGGGGGGCCTCCCGAGGAAAGTCGGAGTCGTCGAACTGGGGGGGAAGATAGGGCGGGGTTCAAGATTGGGTTAAGGGGACATATGTATGTAGGAGGTGTCGCTTTGAAGTCAGAGATCGCTTCAGGGTTGATCTAAGTATGGGCGGTAGAAAAGACCTCTTTGTACGGCTTCAGGGGGGCTTCCAAAAGGATGAAGTCGGAGTCGAGGATTGGGAAAGGGTCGCAAAGGGTTGAGTTTGGGATTAACAAGCTGCGGGGAGGTAAGACGCGATAAAGTTGAGACTGGGCCGTTCAGTGTTAGCATGGATACAAGTGTTGGTCGCACCGTCTCCTTGTGCAACCGCAAGAAAAAGAGTTGCCTGAGGAACCTGAACCAAAGCAGATGTTCAAAAGTAGGGCAGTTTGACGGATGGACAAAGAGATGCCTAAACCAGCCTTGTGGAGTGAAGGAGGAATACCCGGCTACGGGGAAGGTTGCGCACCGAAGTGGGAATCCAGGATGATCGCGAAGATGTAAGCGAAGATCCAACCCTTTGTGGTAAAGAGACAAAAGGACGCGACGCTCACAACGCTGCCTGTATTTGCCAGGTTCAGCTCGGACAGCTCGGAGGGCAGTCGGTCCACGATTCGTACGTCTGGTCGGAGGTACTCCTTGAAGTGATCCGCGCTGAAGATGTCCTCAAACTGGCTGCAAGAAAAGGGACAGAACAGTAAAGATACTGAAGGCCAGTGAAGATACTGAACCCGCAATATGGAAAGCGCAGGTTCTGACACATTTAGTGAGTGCTCTCGGCTGAGTCAAAGTGGTTGCGGGGAAGGGGAGAGTGAGGGGCAGCTTCGGGGTGTAATCCGAAATTTCGAAGCAGCAATCAACATGCAAGTATTCCCAGATTGGCAGACAGTACACAATTTGATAATTTGCGAATGAGGCGAGATCGTCGGCAAGCTCAGCAAACGGTCAGAAAGGGCACGCTTGTTCGGAAAGTTTGCGCTTTTACCTGCCGTCAGCAACGCCGTTCTGCGGAATGAACTCCGGGAGTACGAGCGTCAGGTTGAGATGGCGGGCGAGAGCAACGGCGTTACAGACCTGCGGAGAAAGCGCTGCGATTGGTTACTGGACGGTTGCTACAAGATTAAAATTTGGGCATCAACACTGCTCAACCATTCTAACATTGACACTGCTCACAACTGGGTCACTGCAGATAAGAGTCATCGAAGAATTGCAAGTTTTATCTATCCACGCCAAATGAAAAGACGATTCTGAACTACGGCATGAGAGTGTCCGACTGCGATCGAACGGCTGAGATCCTTCCCTTCGTAGACGATGACATGTCGCAAAACCCGAGGTCAACGTAGGAGCGATCACGGGGGAAAGAAAACGGCAGACATTAAGACCTCGCATTTTTACGCTCTGACCCGTTTCGTCGTAGGAAGACGTCCCAATTACCGTAAGGGCTCCTCCTTCAAGACAAACTCATTGATCTTTGACGCCGAGGTACAACGGCCAGAATACTCCGTAACAAGACCCTCACCGCCACTCGTTGCTGGTTGATTCCCCCTTCCACGCTGACCAGAAGATACCCGTTCGACTCCCCCTCTAGCGGGGGCGGCACCCAGTTCCGCCCCCTCTGGTCCGCGCAGATCTCCCACGTGCCATTCGCGGGTGTCTCGGCCCACGGACCGTGAGCGTCGGGCTTCCATTCCAACTGCAGGACAACGATGAACGGTTAGTTTTGGGGAACGAATAGATATCCTGCTTTCCTGTGCGTCCTGACCTGAGCTCATCAACCGCTTACGCATCCTGGATCTGCTGCACAGCAGACCTGCTTTTGCAACCGTTTTTTAAGCATTTATGACCTGAAAACTTGCAAGCGACGACGTTTTACCCATAGTGTTGCCACGAAAAGGCTTATAGACAAGCCAGTGAAGAAGCGTCTCCTTAGATGAAATCAACTGAGACAACAACACATCAGGCACCCCCCTCTGGCATTCCCCGCCAGATCTGCTCAGCGCACCGTAAAAATTGACTGTTACGACCGATCTCAGCCAACGACGATGTATTCACTCAAACGAGTCAGCACAACCACAATAGAACCACGAATGCACAATGCATGAACGAGGTTCTGCAGCCCCACTTGCTCCTCAGACAACTTACCTCAGCCAACGAGTGCGCCGCCATCGCCAGCAGCCGCTCATACATCAGCCGCGCTCTAGTTCGTTTTTGCACCCGCCTATCTCGTTGCAGCTGCTTCTCTTCCGCCGGGACGTAACACGCCAACGACCCCCCTTCCGAGTTCCTCACGCACTGCACAGGGGGGTCATTTGACACGCCCCCGAACCCCTCCCGGAGGTTTGCGGCCATCGTTTCGAGCTGCGGGCCGACTTTCGTTACCGCCCAAAAATGGGTTAGCAGCGAGGTTAGCATTAACAGCACGGCGAACAACCCCAGAACGGTGGTTAGCCGCCAGCGACCCTTCCGAAGCTTCCCGGCCGACGCGACTTTTCTCGCCTCTGTCGTTTTCGGGGAGAAATCAGCGCCATCGGAAAAGTCGAGCGTATGCGAACCTGGAGTTTTCGGCCAGTTACTCCGAACTCCGGGGGGCGTAAGCTTGACCTTGAGCATGGACTCGGCGGAACCCCCCCTCAGGAGACGGTTCGGGCTAGGAAAACTGGACCTCCTTCCTCCTTCCTCTGGAGAAATGTCCTCCGTCGCTGCGCGGAAATCATTCTCCGACCACGAATTCTTGCGGCTTTTGAGGCGGCTGGCGGGAACGTACTGCGAATCGGGAGTGCCAGATGGCGAGCTGCTATTGGCCGCGCTCCGCAGGATGGGGCTCAAGCTTGGGGCGGCACTGGCCGCCCTCCGGAGGGGGGTGGTGGCACCTGGCGTCGCGGCCCCCCCAGAAGGGGGGCTTTCCGAGAAGCTGGACCGCCGCGTGCGAGACTGTGGGGAAGGGTGAAGCCGCCGGGGGGGGTTGGTCATGGAGGGATCCCAAGAGTGCCGCCGCCCCCTGGAAGCGATCCCTTCATCCCCCGCTTCTTCCAGTTCCTTTTCCTCGGGAACGATCTCGAAGGAGAGCGTTCGCACCGAGTCGCGGGTGCCCGAGAGTTGGCCCCCGGAATTTTGCCGCAGGGGGGGGGTCTGCGGCGGGAGGGGTGGTTTCCGCAGGTTTGGGGTGTCGGAACCAAACGGGCTGGCGCTGCGGAGGGGCGTTCGGTGAGGGGGCGTAACTCCGTCGGGATTGCTCGGGAATGCGGGGATTGACAAGGTCGGAGGTGGGGGCAAGCCGGGAGCAAACCGTTGGGTGGTGACATGTGGCGAGAACGAGAGTGTGCGTTGAGGGTTCAGCTCAGGAGTGCGCGCAGTGTCTTGCGGGTGGTTCAAAGTTTGCCCTCCGGTCCGAGAGTTGAGAACGGACGGCGGGTTGTTAGCCGCTGACGTCATCAGAGGAGACCGACCCTCGCCATTAGAGTTGATGGACTCGGCAATGCTAGCGCCTTGGTGCGAACAGGCCCTTTCGCTCGGAGGTGGGAATTGCCCACCTGGGAAAGCAGGATTTGGCGTGAGAAGGATCCCTCCAGCGTTCTGCCGTATTTGACTGAACCCAGGGCTTGCAAACTCAATTTGCGCCCCGCTCGGTTGAAATGCAAAGTCAGCTTGGGATGCTGCTGCTGCTGAAGGTTCCGCCTGGCGCTGCAGGTTCTCCCGGTCATCGTGTAGGGAACGACCCTCCTCTAGTTCCTTGTCCGCCATGGCTGATGGCCGTAACCACTGAAGCTGCCGGTAGGGCCTGCAAGATGTGTACAAAACCTGCCGATGAATGGTGGCGGATTGCTGTTCTCATATACTTCAAGTTGGCGGCTTGATCGGTTTGTCACTGCACCGCCAATGGCATCCAAAGCGCAAGACTGAAGAGTGTTCTGATAAAGACAATAACTCACTTTAACTTCAACATCAATTGGAGTATCGATCAGAGTGCCGCCATACAATCTAGCATGGCTGGAATTTTTGCTTTCAATCTATCTTCTCGGCAGCCTTCATAAGGGCTCATCTCTTACCACTCTCAATCCAGACCGTGCCGGCGGAGTGCGCCCCTCCAGCTCATCTCGAAAGGCTTTTCCACAATGCAGTGAGGTGCAAAATTGCTTCATCCATTGATGATGGCCTCTTGTCAACAACACTCCAATCAACCTGGAGGGCCGCGGCGTAGAGAGGGACTCAAGGAGGTGAGCAAAAGGAGGACACCATGCCTGCAGCCAAGCGTTGAGCAAGAACGGAGCTGGAGAGCGGGCTGGAGTCTGGAGAATGACCTTTCCAAGAGTTGATCAATTCAGGGTCTAGCTTCCGCATGCAGAATTAAACTCGAAGAAGATTATCTACTTCTGTTGGAATTTGAGTGCCTTTTAATATCTTAGCATATACAGTCTTAATATCCCTTCTCTTTTGCAAACCAGTATTGAACTGGACGATCATTAACGTGCATTATAACTGTGTATATTCGCTTGGCTTACCAACAAAGTTCCAGGCTTATATCAGTATGTGCAGAAGAGAAATAAATCGACTTGCTGCTCACACTCGGCAGTCAGATGTACAGGAGATTGGAACGAAGGCCCAATCCTAGAAGGCGCTTGAATTTGTAGAGAGAGGGAGCCAGGCCAGCAGCATTGAGAGGTTGAGACGCGAGCAAACATTGCTCAGCAGCTAGCACAACGACTAACCAGCTGCCACCAGCTGCTTCTGTTGCACCACCTTCAGGTATATTACTTCGTAGTTTCTCCTTTGAGAAGTTTTGTCAAGCATTCGCAATACCTAGGATATAGTGGCACAATGCCGACCTTGAAGCTGCAGACAAACGTCCCTGGCGACACGGTCACCACCTCTGACTTCCTGAAGGAGGCCAGCAAGGCAGTCGCGAAGATCATCGGCAAGCCGGAAGCGGTACGTCGGTTCCTTCTCTGTCTGAACAGCTTTTTTGCCGATTGTATCTTTCTTTGCTCCTTGAGTTGGCTACAGGGTGTGAGGTTGCACATGACTGGCTGCCACTTGTTGCGCTGCGCTGCTTGGAAAACTAAGGTGCTTAGCTCATTCTGACATCACCATGTACCATAGGGGCAACATTCACAATCTTCCCCCACCACATTCGGTGGACAGGAGGTAACAGGAAAGGAGAATCCGAGACTGCACTCAGGGGGATATACCGAACGACTGTCCTGGAGAATGGCTCCCATCCTCTACCCATGATTGCAGCATTGCTGCATCATCTTGTGGAACGGCATCGACAGTTGATTTCATGATTCAATGTAAAGCTTTGCGTCTGCCCAACCATACCCTGGGGGGCAAGATTCCCCCACTTCAAGTAATAGCAAAAACACCTGGAGTGGATTCAGATTGAGTTGAACTGCCCAAACCAGCCGGACTGACCACCCTGTGTTGTCGTGCAGTACGTTCTGGTCACCATACAGACTGGGGTCCCCACCACCTTTGCGTAAGTGTCAAGGCCCCATTGATGCTTTGAAAGCCCTCATCTGACCACTTATGATGACGTCTTCCCGAAATTGTTGAAATTGATAAGGAGCATTAGAGCTTGAATTTGAATGGCTGGGCGTTAGGCTACTTTTAACTTCTGCAAAGGTATTCGCCATGGCCCGCTTCATCTTAATTGGCACGAATGTTAAGTTTGTGGGCGGCATCCCCACTGTGGTTGTCTGGGTTCCCTGCAAACGCCCTTCTGACCATTTTAAGTAAACATCTGGAAGAACTTGAAGGCCTGTTACTCGGTCGGTTGGCCCCCAAGACGTATGCTTATCAGGCCTTTTCTATTGTACAAGTAAGCTTTGAGACACTGTGTACTGGCAAATTGCCAACTTGATGTGCGGGTTTCATCCCACTGATTGCAGGGGGACTGAGGAGCCCGCCGCATATGGCGAGATCATTTCCATCGGGGGCCTCAACCCCGACGTCAATCGAAAGCTGAGCGGAGCCATCGCTGAGTTGCTCCAAAAGCTGTTCAACATCCCGGCCAATAGATACTACATCAAGTTTTCTGACGTGGCAGTAAGTGCCAGCCGGCAACGTCTGGTTTTCCCGCTTGCTACTGACTGAATTTATAAGCCAGGCTCCCTTCAGATACGGGCTCGCTCTGTGGGGACCTGTTTCTTAGTAAACAAAGCGTCTTGCTGAGAGGAGGTACCCCTAGTAGCCTTCGTCGATCTCTGTCTCTGTGCTTGGAATGGGGAAGTAAGGACACAAGCAGGAGCCAGGATTGATTTCTTTCTTGTCTTCGTTGGGGCAGGCAGAAACCAGGGACCCTAGACATGTTCCCAGTTGTTTACATGCCTTGCATCAAGGCGTACCAGGATGACGTCAGCAGTAGCAGGTTAGGTTTCGCCTCCAGGTTCGTTTGAGATCGGGGTACCCTAATCTTGAGCCGTCTGGTGTTTCCGTCTAAGTTTTATTGAAAAGGTGTTTACGTTCTGCTGCGACATGCTTTTTCCATATCTATGAAAGGTTGACTCTTCTGCATACTTAGTCTGATAAAAGCTCACATACTACTGAATAGTATCTTTCCTTTGAGATGCTCCGGCCAAGAGATATTTGCATGCTAGCCTTACAGTCATTTCAATCAGAACAAGCATCTGTATCCAGTGGGGTTAAACAGCACTGGAGTTTTTCGTCGAGAGTATCCTGACAACATCTCTTTTTCTTTGACAGAGACCTGACTTCGGATGGAACGGGGGAACATTTTAGAAAGGTCAGCGATTCGTTTGGCCAAACTTTTGAAGCACGCATACATATATAAAGTTCGTCGACTTTCTGGGTAACACGTGATTGTGAACACACCCAGGAGCATCTGTCCGGACGCATCTGTCAGCTTTCAACGAAGCCTGCTCAGAGACTCTCAGTGTTGCGGTCATATCAAAATTTCCGGACAGCTCGATCTGGTTGCTGCAAGATAATTGACTGACGTTTGGGCCTAGCAAGATTTTTTTGTATCAGGATGAGCGGGCAATTCAAACGGCTCCATGCGGCCATTCTGATTGTGCATGTCGGAATATTTAGGGACTAAGGTGCATCAAAACAGCCTGTGAACCTTATTAATGTAGCGTGCAGTCTTGCAAACTGATAAGGTCACATGCAGCGGAGTCTATATCAGCCTTCAATGCAATCAAGCGTCATCATGACGCCTCCGATCGAGTGACCAGCCTGGATTGGCAGCTAAATTTTTGTTCTAAGCTAATCACGCATGCATAAGTTGATAATCGGATCATGAGTGACCACTACCATCCAACCGTTGAACTTGAATGAACCATTCAGCTCCGAGGCTCGAATTGGCGTTTACATAGGGCCATGTGCAGCTGCTAGGCGCGGTCGGCCGGCAATTTTTGTATTTACCTCTCATGGTGCTCATCGCCGGGAGCATTGGCAGGCTCATGCATGTGCACCGGACCGCGAAACAATTCAGCAGAAAGATCTGATGGTTGGCCATATATGGCATCGATGTACAATGGCTTGTCAGTGAGCGGCCCCGGCAGACGGAACAGGTTTGTCCAAAAGCGCCTATATAAAGGGCGACTTCAACACTCAAACCAGCGTGGTCTCACTCACTCGTCGGACCAGTCGTGGCATCACGCTGGCACTGAGTGATCTTCAGTAGTGCGCACATTTACGGGCATTTACCTGCTGATTGTCACCAATCCTTGTATGGCCCAACTCGAAGCACCTCCATGTCGAACTACTTGTTCGAGTAGAGCTGCCAAATCCGTCTACACAACGCAATCGCGTTCCTTTGACGCTCTTCTTGCACTTCGAAGGTCCAATCCGTTACCTCCTTTAGATTATCTGTCAACGGAATGTTGTTTGAGGTCCCCTGCCGGTTCTGCTTGCTGAAAATCTTCTCCTTCTTTTCCTTAAACCCTTGGTTCTTTGCTGCGGAGTTCTTCTTCCCCGATAACAGAACCAGGTTTCCCAGCTTATTCACGGCCTCATCGTACCGTCGATGGTCCTTTAGGAGCTCCTTCCATCCTGCGTCATCCGGGTTTTGCGGTGCCACGTGTTCCACGGACAGATTCGTCTCCAGGTACAAGTCGGCATACTTTGCACCCCCCTGAATCGTGTCAAACTCGTTCAGGCGCATCAGCAGGAGCTTCACGAGCCTACTCTGCCGGCTGCTTGTGTAGAGCGGCTTCTCGAGCGCCTCGAGAAACTCCTCAATCTCCTTGTGAGACAGATCCAGAGGCAAGCCTTCCCAGATGCTTCCCGACACGCTCGTTAGCCCGCGTTTCGTTGCAATGTCCCAACTGTCCAGCACCGTTTTGTAGCGCTCGTCTTGCAGCTTGACGCTCCAGCCGCGCACAAGCATGAACATCGAGAGCCGGTCGAGCTTCTCGAGGGTCTGCAAGAGGGCCCCGCTGTGATGGGCGAAGTCCTTGAACGCGAGAATCGCGACGGGGGCCCACCCGGGGAGCGTCCGTCCGTACCCCGGCTTGACCCTGCACGTGACACACAAGTTGAGCTTGTCAAAGGTACATACAAGCAGTGAGCAGGCAATGACAATTTTTGCTTTCCAGTTGGGGAGCTTCTATCCCACACGTCCACAAAAGGAAGGAACGGATATTCCCTGGAGGAATACGTAATTGACAAAAGTCGACAGCTCATTTGGGACTGCAGATCTAGCTACCGTCTCTAGGAACCAGTTCCGGGAAGCGGGAACGTTTCCTGACAAAAAGTGCTTACTGCCTAGGTTACGTTTGGCAGTTCTCTGCAGACCCCTCAAACAAGTGTACGCGTTTGGGAACCAGGTTCTCTTACAACGGAGTGATGCAGGACAATAAGTATCAGATACGTTACATCTTAAGTACCCCTTTCCGATCCAGCGCCACCGCATCATCAAACGATCCCGTATGAGCCTGTTAAGGCCTGCCTTTCGCTGCCTTGCGAGTTTCACAATACTCACCGCCAGAGCAACCGCCGGAAGGTCTCAATCTCCCTCGCCTCCGTTTCGGAGCTGCACGTGTACCCCCCTTTCAATAGCTCCTCGTACGTCCTTGCGAATGGAAGCAGGATTTTGTCTAGAAACTGCGGCCCTTCTAGTTGGAAGTGGGCGTACGTTTTTGTGAACTCCTCCATCTCATCCTTGCATGGCTTGTCGAGGTAGATGAAAGACAGCACCTTGAAGGTGGCCGACAGATGGTCACGCCCAGCCTCGTCCCACTTTTTGTCAAAATCGTCCTGCAAATAGTTCATCGGAGTTGATGGTATTAGACTTCAAGGTGCGGAACAGCGGACCTGAGCGATTCGAACGAAAGACTGACCGTTTGCAACCGGTTGCTGAAGCGATTCCATGGTCAATCAAACAGATTTACGAAAGACAACGATCAGTTTTGATATGAGGTTGTCGAAGACAACCATCTGGACAAAGGAAAGTGTTAGCATAGAATCTCTAGGTGGAGAGATAATCAACGAAGCTTCCCGAATTCGTTAAGTAGCATTCACATCTTTGGGGTGCTAGGAGTAGGCTGTGTCGCTATATTAGGGCTCAAATCAAGATGGAATCCAGCCAGCGAACCGTCAGAAACAGATGTAATCCTCAAGGCTCAAACCTTATTCAACACGTGCTTGGGGAAAGGCCATCTTGAGCTTCCTCTGGGTGCACACTTGAATGACTAACGGTAGATAAGCAGAGAAGTTTTGTTTGACAATCTACCGCTCCTACTCTCCGCTGTTGCTCTAGACAGCCTCCCACTGATCTCCAGAAGAAAAGGGGGACTTTAGCCATAAAAGAACTTCGTCAGAAAAGCTGACCTGCTGTTCCTCAGGAATACTCTCCCACATGGTGGCCTTGACTATGTCGATGGACTCCAGGTCGAGCCCTCTGTTGCTGGTAACTTTGAAGAACTTGATGGCGTCGTTGTGGGAGCTGCAGTGGCTCAGCAGCACCAGCACCTTCTGCAGCATGTACCTATAGAGGTCGATGCACTCGTCCACATCCCTCTCCCGAATCTGCGACCAGATGTACTGGACGCAAAGAGCTAGTACTCGTTAGAAATTCTGCAGTACGATTTTGAAAACGAGCTCAACAGGCCTGAACCTTTTGCATGTCAAATTGTTTGCTTGATGATTGTTTGGATGCTTGAATTCGAAAAGCCCCGGTACATGAGACAAGAGATGCACTTGTGGACTGAAGACGGATGTCCCAATAAAGAATATCCCTATCCCCGTTATTGCGGTTTGACAACCGCAAAAAATGCACGAGCATCTTCTACGACCCTGACAAATTGTTGGATGATTCCACCTTTCTTTGCTCTCAGCCGGATAGCTATAGGCGCACGTACGTCCTTAAAGCAGCTTTAAGAACTGTGGTTTGATTGGTCCAGAAATCAGTTGTCAGCCCCTTTCAATGACGAGGCAAGCAAAGTCAAGCAGCATGAATAGTCAAGCTTACCTGCAGATTCTGCCAAATGTTCTGCTGGGTCTCCCCTTTCAACACCTTTGCATCATAGTCCTGCCTGGTGAATTTTACTGGGTCTTGGAGCAGGTCATTGAAGAACTCTGCATCCTTTCTTTTGAGCTCAACCCTTGGTGCTGGGCTTCTCTGTGTACCCACGTCCCCCTCGTCCCATAGCGCTTCAGCCAACTTCTTAGCGAGCTTTTCGATCTCGGCTCGTTTTGCAGGCAACAGCTCATTGCTTTCTAGCTCCATTTCCAGCCGGCATTTCAGAGCGGCAAAAATAAGGCAGAGGGTCACCAGACGCTGCTGGCCATCCACCATGGACAGCTTGTTGGTCAGTGAGTCAATGGGAGGGCCTCGTGCCACTGTGACGAGGCCCAGGTGGCATTGACTCCGTTCACTGCATTGGATCAGGAACAGACGGGTTCGACAGTTGCGACATGAGAAGAGAAGAGTACCCGACATTGACTAACAGCTTCCTAGAAATACCTTAACGCTCAAAGCCGTGCAGTTCCGACAGAGACTGTTTTCTCAATCTTGCACACATGATGAGAGGATTTTCAATCGCTTTACCAATGCAGATTATGGACAGAACTATGCAGGCACTGTGTGCGGATTGAGGCTTCGCTTTAGTAGGTTCTGGTCCTGGAAGCCATGTGCTAATCAGGTGTGAATCCATTTTTCTACACAAAGCAAGAAATAAAGAGAGAGGAACAAAGTTCACGACCCCAACAAAGTACCCAGCAATAGAAGACGAGAGCCCGCACCTGATCTGAACGCTGCCTTGATTTGCTGCTTCCCACAAATCTGAAAGGAGATCCTCAGCATGCTCCTTCTGCCACGAGTAAGGCCTTTGATATGCCGGTAAGACAAAGAAGTGATTTTCGTCAAACAGCTTTAAGAGGACTGTCTGCTTTGCGTCCATCTGAGTTGCTTCCATGTTTGATACATCACCCTGACCTGCAAAAGCTTGAGCATTTTCTAAAACCCTTTGGCGGACACGAGGAGCAGAAGTCAGCCCTTTAAATCCTAACAGAGGTCCATTAAGTGCATCTTTCCCAGAGGTTCGATGTTCTGGTGAGACGACCCTGAGGTTGTGGCCACCAGCAATACGATGTTGACCTGTGCCGCCCAAGTGTCGACGGCAGGATCGAAGAGGCACTTTAGCTCTCTGCAAAGCTGCTGTTACGTTGGCAGATGAAAAATTCTGGGATGAGGAAAGATAATCAGATCTATGGCTTCTTGCTTGATTAACTCTGCCGTCGAAATTTCGGGTAAGGGGGCTCCCACTGCCAGACTTGGAGGCGTTCTTGCATGCCTGAGTTGCCATGACTTCAATGCTCAGCTGAATTCTAGATCGGAAAGCGCTTGCCCGACTCTTGTGGACTGTCCTGCGCTTGCATCCCCCTCTGAAGGCTTACCAGCATGGCAGCAATGCAGCATTATCCAGCATTATCTATTAGCGAGCCTCCAGGGGAAGAACTCACTAGATCTCTTGCGTACTGAACTGTTCTCGCATCTCGTTGCAATGCGCATTTCATGACCCCTCATTCATGAAAATAGGCACCCGGGGGACGATTTGGGTTAGCTAGGTTGGTTAGGGTGGAAATGGTTGGAATGGGTAAGAGTGCGCGGGTGATGTTCTTGGTTAGGGCCTTGACTCTAAGTTGCCCGGGGCTCGATCTGCATCTTCGTAAATTAGCGGGTACCATTACCGTGTCAATGGCACTGGTTTTGCCGGGAATTCAAGTTTGAACTTGGAGCTGCTGCATCAGCGGATGTGGCACTTTCCTCAACACTGATTGGTTTGCATGCCAGCTCCGTAACATTGTTAGCCGTCGATGAGATTACCACGTGGCTATCCACTTTTGGCGGGACCAATTCGGTTGACCCTTTCTGCACTAGCCTCTGGGCACTGGTGGCAGCCTCTGATTCAGCCTAGGTAATTCAGGCTCAGGGTTCGCAGTCCAGATCTCCAATGGGCTGTGGCACTTTGAGAACTCCTTGCGATCTTGACGCTTGTTGAAGGTGGCGAAGCGAACGTATTGAGACGTATTGAGACGTATTGAGCGTGCCTAACTGAGAGCTGGGTGCATGGTGGCACATTGCTGGCAGCTGGCCTTTTGTGTACAGTTGTGTCTCGAGCGGAAGCATCTGCAAGTGGGAGGAAGCAACGTCCTAGCGTCAAGACTCATGTCCAACAACACCTGATCTTTCTGTTTCTCGATTGGATTTGGAAAGATGCACTCCTCAAAGGTGCATGAACGCTGGCCCAGCGGGCAATGCATCGAAGCTTGGTGGCCTCTGGACAAGTGCTGGTACCGCGCAACAGTGTTGCAGTCGGTCGCTTGCACCAAGAAGCAGTTGGTGCTGTACGAAGATGGCGACGCAGAGGAGCTGGTTTTGGCTGAGCAGGAGCAGCAAGGCTTGATCCGGACAGTACCAGAACCGCAGCTTAATCTGCGCCAGAACCTGGTGACTGTGCATAAGCACCTGGCTTTGAATCTGGCAAATGAGGGATGGCACTTCTGCACCAGGTAAGTTGACAGACTCTCACATATCTTGCATCAGAATCCTGCTGACGAATATGTTTATGTTGCCGGGAAATCGTTTGCAACAACCACCATAAAGTCCTGTTGCAGGCCATGTCAAAACCCTCTCTTTCGGTGCCCAGATGCTCCTCAGCTCTTCCATCTTTTCAAGGTACACAGAGTTGTGCATTTGGGTCCAGAAGCCCTCTTTCTTAATCAGTCGGCCGCATGACCTCATGAGCTTATGAAACTCTCCGCGCTGGAATTGCTGTCAGTTGCATGCATCTCTTCCTGGTGGTCATGAGCTGGTCATGGTTGTTTTCCCTACAGTAAAGTGGCATTCCAACTTAGTTGTTCAGCTCCTGAAGGCCTTTGAATGCCACATTGTAGACGCTTTCATCAAGTCTCTAGCTGTGGCAGCAATTGCTTTCTGGCAATCTGGATTCTGACCTGATTCTGAAGCTCAGGTGGCACCCTAACACTTCCGTTCACTCTCCGTACGAGTAAAATATTACTTTTGCGCTGACTGGCCAGGTCTGAATATCTTCCTCGATCATCAGGATCGATGAAGCTTAATAAAATCAGCCTATGCTGGTTGCCTCTAACAACCGCCTGCGCAGCCATCCTGTCTTTCCTGCGGCAACTTCAACGTACAGAAGCTGCCACGTACCCAATCTAGATTTCATCTTCGTCCTCTGTGACACCTTGTTAATCTGCATCTGGCTCATTCTCACCAGGTGCGACCAGACCCTGGAAAGCAAGCACTTTCCCTGCCCCTGCAATCAGCCCATCAGCTTGCTCAGCGATGATGAGGAGGAGGAGAGCAGCCAGACACTGATGTGGGGGGGTCAAATCCTGAGGGCGGAGACCCCCTCGGCAATGAATCGGAGGCAGTGTCATGGATGCTTTGTGTCAGGAGGCGTCCAGCTTGGCGCGTCTGCTTGTCCAAATTGTGGGACAGACCTGACCCCAAGGAGAACAAGAATTGGGCACTTGATGTCCCCAAAGGGTGAGCATGTGATTCTTTTCTCAGCTTCACTCCTCTTTTTCTTTTCTCTTTCTGCCCTTATGAAGCTGTTGACTGATCTTTGTATTATTGGGGTGTTTGCACAATCAAAGGTGATGCATTGCACAGTACCTTACACGGTCTGAACGGCTCTCTCAGCGCCCGAGTATGACTGGATCACATGCTGATGCAAAGCTGAACCTTCTGAAGCATCACCCGCCTGAGTTCCTGGATGAGCCATGGCGCCTATTGGACACATTGACAAGCAGAGTGAAAATGAAACCCTGATCACATGCCACTCATGGTTTGACTACATGAACAGCTGCAGCTTTGCCCAACTGCTTCCACTCCAGGCTGAACCACTTACATCTTTTGTAGCAAACCGGCTCAAAATGCCATCAGGCTTGCTTGACTGCGGTATCCTTAATAAAGTGCTTCGATCTGCAGCTGCGTCGTCTGGCGCCTCCGGTGTCTTCACTGGGCAAGTCCTTCGGGCAAGTCCTATCGACAGCGGTCAGCAGCAAGCCCCCAAGGCCACTTCCGAAAAGGGCGTGAAGACAACACAGTGCGGGGGTCAGAGCGGGTTGTCTGTGAACGCGGGCCGGTTGCATCCGGAGGGCCAAAGGGGCGTGAGAGGCGCATTTGCGGGGGTGTCCAGAGGAGTTAAGAAGGAAGCAGAAGAGGTCGAGGGTCCAAAGACGAGAACCGTCAGAGGCGCCTTCGGGGGGGTTGCCAAAGTCGTCAAGAAGGAAGTGGAGGAGAGCAGATTCAGGATGGGGAATGTTCTGGCAGACTGCCAACGAATCCAGGGCGCTGGACGAAGCTCAGGGAAGGAGTATGAGCAGGGCGCACAAGATGGGGCGCCTGGAACGGAAACAGGGACTCGTGTGCTGAGCCCATCCCCAAACTCAGCCTTGCCCATCGAAAACAGGTCGCAAGCGGCTTCAGCACCTGATTACACTGGGGAGGCTGTGACCGGGTCCATCCCGCAGATCGTTGGCAAGGTTGAGACGGGCGGAACTGGGGGAAGCAGTGCTGTTTTGGACAAAGGAAACGAGGCTCGGGGCGACGAACGGAGGGTAGTGCGGGAGAGGGGCCAGGCTGTTGAAGGGGGTTGCTCTGAGGAGAAGAGGATTGTGACATTGACGGAGCTGCTGAAGGGTAAGATTGCATGTGCTTCTTGCTCGTTTCGCTACCAACGAGTCTGTCTTGAGGTTCTTTTCGACTAGAACCCGCTAGGCTCTCAGAATTTTCATCTGTAGTCCAAGTGCGGTCTGGTACTCTGACATTCAGCAAAGCTGTATGCCAGGTCGCTTCTGATGAGTGCACGTGGTCACACAGGGTCATTCCATTGAGTCGATAAGGCAGATGAGCCCAAGATGTATGATCCGTTCAGAATGACATCAAGGCACACTGTTTCCAGGCAGTCCGGTAGTCATAGTTGTCGCTAGCAGTCTTGTTACCAGTTTTGCTGCAGCTTGCGCGTAGAAACATAGGTCCTCTGCTCGCATCCGGTGCCTGACGGTACATTCTTCCCCCTCCCACACCACTCTCTTAAACAATCAAATGCATCTCAATTCAGTAAACTGTTTTTCTCCTTTTCAGCCACGGCCTTCGAGGCCCCGACCTGCTCCGAAGCCGCATCTGCAGCTCTTCCCCTCTCCAACGACTCGGCCCCGGCGGACCTCAGCCCTAACCCAGAGGACTTAAGCCCCAAACCCTCTGTTAACCCGTCCCGCACCCCCCAAAAAGCGTCAGTGGGCGCCAATCTAGACGAGAGCAGCCCACTGGCCCCTTTCGATGCTGGGCACTTTTCGGATGAGCGCCCACTATCAAACGCTGGCGAGTCAGCAGGCCCAGACAATGTCCTTCCGGAGGGGTTGGGCGAAAGACCAGTCTCGGACAGCTATCTCGGCCGGGGAGGATCAGACGCCGGGGCCGTTTCGGAGTCGCTGCCTTGTTCCGGGAATGTGGATATCGGGGCAGCTTCCACTACTAAGCGACCTGACGGGGAGGCTTGTTCGGACGGGTTCCCTTGCCTGCGGGACTTGGACACCGGGGCACGCCCGGACGGTTCTCCTTGTTTGATGGTTTCAGACACCGGGGCTGGGTCGATCAGAGTACTCGCTTCAGTGGCTTTCGATGCGGGAGCAACCCCAGAGCCCGGGGCGGTTTCGACAGGTGGCGCAAGTCCCGGGACTGGGGCTGCTCTGGGCGCCAAGGTGGTTTTCGATGCCGAGGCGGTTCTGGGCGCCGAAGCTGTTTCGGACTGTGAGGCACTTTCGGACGCTGAGGACATACCTGATGCCAAAGCGAACCCAGGTGCTGGCGCCGGCGCCGGCGCAGTGACAAACCCTGGGGTGATGTTGGACGCTGCAGAGAGATCGGACGCCGAAGCAACTTCGGACGCCGGGACCGTGTCGGACGCCTCCTGCTTGAGCTTTGCGTCCGCTCAGCAGGATTGGCAAGCCGGGGGTTCCAGTCCCGCGACGAACGGTGACAAGGCCCAGGAGTGCGCTCCGCATTTGGCAGACCCCTTGGTAAACCCGGCGCGCCAGTTCGCCCCGGAAACCTCAAGCCCTGCGTCGATTTTCTGTCTGGACGGCGCGTCTGCGGTCATGCCTGTGAAGCGCAGGTCAAATGCACCGGGGCTAGCGTCTCTGGTAACTGAATCGGCCCCCAGGGGGGGTGGGGCCAAAGACGGTGTCCTGACCCCCTGCAATCAGAACCCGAAGGCGGGAAAGTCGGAGATTCTGGAGAGCATGTTCGGGCAGGGGGGCTCTCAATGCAGCAGCGAACAGCGCCCCTCGGACCGAACAGGAGAGGACGTCGGAAGGCGTGCATCAGCGCGGCTTGCGGGGGGGGCTCCTAAGAGCACAAGCCTTTCTCACGGGTTGGGTTATCTTGGGGCACCGCTGGCGGCATTATCGGGACTGGGGTGGGCTCCTTGGGGGGGGGAGAGCGAGGTCCAGTTTCTGGGCACAGCTAAGGAAGTTGAGAAAGAGAAAGCCCGGTCGGCTGTCGCCGAGGTGGGGTCAAACGTCGCTCGTCAGGAACCCCCCGAACCTGGACGGACGCTGCGCTTGTGGCAGAGCCTTAAGCAGCAGTTCTATGCCAAGACTGCTGCCAACCCCAGTTCCGCCGAGTTGGAAAAGCGGGCGGCGAGCTGTGACGGGAAACGCAGTGTGGAGTCCCTCGCTGGCGGACCTTGGAGCGCCAAGTTTGACACCTGCTCGGACTTCAGCCTGCCAAGCGACTGGGTCCGTGACGTCACCTCGCCCCGGGGCACTGACGTCACTCGGGGCTCCCGTGTCTGGAAGTCGGTTGGAAGGCGGGCGAGTAGAGAGTCGGTCGGGGCTACGGAGGCGGACGCGGCTGGGACGAAAGCGGAACCGGAGCAAGGTTGCCTGCAAACGGAACCGGAACAGGGCGGAAAGGAGGCGGAAGGGGCTGCGTTGACAAAAGAGACCGGTGCGTTCGTAGGACAGAGCGCCTCGGAAGTGGAAACCGAGAAAACACGGGTCCGGAAGGAAGAGGACCGCTTGAGCCCGAAAATCAAGGAGGCTCCGTTAGGATTGGCGGGATGCCGGCCCGCCGCGGGCGCAGAAGCGACGGGACTGAAGCTTGAACCAGAACTGGGACTGCAGCAAGAAGGGGAACCAGATCGAACGCGAGCGGTCGGATCTGCCATCCAGGAGGAGGGAACGGAAGCCGGGCGAACGGATGATGAGGCAGAGGGGGTTACGGACGATATGCTGGCGGCGGCGTTGGGTGACGTGGATCAACTGATCGCGGAACATGAGCAGGTGGAAAATGTCTCCATCCTGATCTGCAATTACAATGTTTAGAACTCTAGAAGCCGTTTTCAAGGTCTGCTTCTTTCTAGGAACAGAAGTTTCAAATGGAGTGCCTGACCGTATTTTGCTGCAGCACTTATCTTACTGCATTCGGTCATCCTTTTAGAAACTTGTCTTGGTCTTATGCAAATCTCGGCCGACTTCAAGAGACGTGCGAGCTGGTGTTTTCACAAGGTGACTTCAGCGTTAATTTTGATTCCATTTCATTGGACACTGTAGCTTCCTTTGACACCAACTTTGGCACCAACTGCGACACTTGTCTCATGTTGAAGCATTCGAAGCTCAGAGTTTTTCAGATTTCATTAGACGTTTCAAAGCGGTCGCTTACCAATCTCGTCTTGACCTTTGTTTGCCAGGCGTCCGATGAGTTCGCTTCCGCCAGTCCCCAAATCAGTGCCCACTTCGGCAGTCCCCTGTGCCGCTTCCCCCCAAGCGACGCACTGCCCGAGCTGCGGCTAAAACGCAAGCGGTCCTCTGCGCCCCGGAAGCCGCCACGTCGCAGCCCACAGACGAAGCAAACAGATGACGAAGAGGTGGTTGAGGTTCGAAGCCCCCAATGGCAGGACGGCCGAAACTCGGGGCTGGTCAGTCCGGACGGGAGCGTGTGCCGCGGGCGCATAAGGCGCGTGCCGGACGTGTACCGGACGTCCGCGTCGCTCGAGTTTCGGGTGGAGGACCAGGTGGGGCTGAAGTCGCCCCTCGGAAGCGAGGCGACGTCGGGGAAAAAGAAGCGGAAGGGGGAGCTGAAGTCTCCTTTCGAAGAGGAGGCGACGTCGGAAAACAGAAGAAGAAAGGGAGGGGCGAAAGTTGCGAATGAAGGGGTGTTAGGCGCAGTGAGCGGCGAGAATGGAGGAAAGGCGACGCTGGAGAAGAGGAAGGAGGAAGGAGTGTCGGAAGCCGTGAGGGGAGGGGAGGGGGGAATTGCAGCAATAGTAAAGCACGGAGGGAAAGAGGTGTCGAAGAGAGAAGAGAAGACTGGCGTAACCATTGCCGGCCTGGCTTGCAACGGTGGGGACGTCGACGATGGGGGCGTGAGCGGCACAGCAAGCGGCACTCACGAGGAAACGGCGACGGAGAGTAAGGGAGTATCGAAAGCCATGATGAAACCGGCGGCGACCGGTGCACCGAGCAGTGGAGCCGACGACGGGGCGCGGTTGGAGGGGCAGAAAAGAGAAAAGGTGGGCATTGCGAGTGGCGGACGCTTGGAGGGTGGCCTCGCTGACGTCACCGCTGCGACCGGGGGCAGCGGAAAGAAGCGGAGGACGAAGCGGAAGAGAGCGGCGGGGGCGGGGGGTGTCGTTTCGGGGGGGTCGGAAGGAGGACTGCAAACGGAAAGTATGGCGGGGGGAGCTTCGACGGAGTACGGGGGTCTGGAGCGTGGGCTTTGGGAAGGGCTGCTAAGGGGGCTTCAAGAAAGGGAGGGAGAAGTTACCTCTTCCACCGACGGTGGCCGGAATGCTGCAAAGACCGGTGATGTTTGGAAACATGGTGAGGCAGATTGCTTGGGAGAGGGGAGTCCCGAGGAGAGTAACCGGTCGCTTACGGACGTCGAAACTTTTGACAAAGACGAGCGGAGACCTGCCCAGGGGATCCCTCGTGGGGAAGAACGGGTTGCTCCGAGAAACGGGGAAGGGGGATGCATCTCCGAGGTAAGTGGCGGCATGGAGTGGGGGCAGAAGCGGAAACGCGCCCGGGGTGCGGACGTCGGCGCAGACCTGGACGGGCTATCCGGGTGTCCGAAAGCGGACGGTGGCTTATTCGTTCGTGCAGCAGATCTGAAAGCCGGTCAGAAGCTTGACGGCTTGAGCGACTGCGGCGCTGGAATCGCCGAGACTGCCCTAAGCAAGGACGCGGAAGCTTCTGAGGGAGGGAAGGGGGGAGAGGAGATGGGCGGAGCAAAGGGGGGAGCAGAGGAGAATGAAGAGCAAAAAGGGGGAGAAAAGGGAGAGGTAGAGCAAGTGAGCGGAGTTGAGAGGAAGGGGGAGAGAGGCGCCGAGGCAAAGATGGAGGCACATAGAGAGGACCGTGAGACGAAGGAAGAGAGAATAGGAAAAAGAAAGAAGACGGAAGATCTGGAAAGGAAAGCAGGGACCGCGGGAGGAGTAGCGGATAGGACTCCGTCATCGGGAGTTGATGACGTGGACTGGGAAGAGGCGTCCCTGAGTCTGAAGCCCCTGAGTCCCCCGCTGTCGCCGTTCCAGCTGAGACTGGCCCAAAGCCCTGGGCTCCAGTCAGAGGGATCCCCTTCCAAGTGCCTCCCCGAGCTCCTTCCAGGTTCGCAGCTACATGTCGACCCGGTTCCGCCGGACTGCGGAGAACAATCCAAAGCCGGAGGCGACGTCATGCTGAAGTTAATGCCGGGTGGACTCCTGGCGCTTCCCCGGCTGGTCGAGGAGTCGCCGTCCCCGCTGCCCCGTCAGACAGTGCCAGCTGGCAGCCCCTCAGTCGGCGCTCAAACCCTTCAAATCCTGCCGCCCAGCGACAACCCCTTGCCGGCGGTTTTCGGCGACGCAGCGAGCGTTGCTCCCTTCCAGATCCCCAAATTCGGCCAGGAAAGCCTTCCTGCGATTGGTTCAGCAGGCGGCGTGCAAGATCCGGATTCCGCTTCAAAGGAGCCCCCGCAAAGCCCCCGGGTTGCTCCGCTACAAACTGCCCAGCTCCTAAGCACGCCCCCCCGGAACCAGGGGGCCCAAACCGCCCAGCAAACGGCCCCCCGGAGCTGCCAAACGTCGACCTCGGAAACTGCCCACCTTCTAAGCACACCTCCCCGGAACCAGGGGGCCCCAACCGCCCAGGAAACGCCCCCCCGGAGCTGCGAAACGTCGACTTGCCCGGTGGACCCGGCCTTCGGCCCTACCCCAGAGAGCAAGCACAAGCGCCGGCGGATGTCGTTTTCCCCGGCCGTTAAAAAGCGCCTCGTCTCGCTGGCCAGCCCGCTGTCTCAGACCGACGCCGATGATACGGACGCGTTCTGTGCCCCAAGGGGATCCCCCTACTTCGCGCGCAAACGGCGGTCAGAAAACCGGGTTGACGAAAACCGAGCTAGCGACTCCCGATCGTTGCAGCGCCAATCGGAAGTGGGCAGCGTGAGCCGCGACTCCGAAGTGGGGGCTTCCGAGTCGGATCTGTCGTTTTCGGGGGGGCAACCGAGCTGGGGAGCTGAGGGGGGGAATGGTGAGAGGCCATCCCCCCAGACGAAGCGTGCGAAATTCAGCTTGTGGCTGGATGAGGGGACGCCGACAAAAGCGGCGCTGGTGGAGAGTCCGCTGGAGCTGTCCGTCCGAGACGGACAAAGTGTGGAAAACGGAACGGATGACCCCGGAAAGTGGTGGAACGAACTTCGGGGGAGTGAGCCGCTCAAAGCACACACTTTCGGCGGTGCCAATAACAGAGACTTGAGCGAAGCAGCCTTGGGGGACAGGAACAGCCCTAACTGGGGCCCCCCCAAAGGAGACAAGTCGCAACTCCGTGCGACAGAGTGGGCGGAAGGCGATTTGTTGGGCGAAAACGGAACGCCGGGCGTCGAACGGTGGCTGACGCTTCCGGAGGGGACTGGTTTCGACGACGAAACGGGGCCCCGGGTGGATAAACCGGGCGCAGGCCGCCAGCTGAAGACGGGTGTAAAGATGCCCGGTGAAAGTGCACGGGAGAGGGGCGTGGACAGATTGAGGGAGAACTTATCCAGGACTTTGGAGAGGGTGGGGGTGAAACTGGCGAAAGCGGATGGTGAGAGCGGGGCGCAACGGGAGTCACAGGTGAGATTCGCAACGTGAATCTTAATAAACTTTCTGAGAATTCCACCATGCGGAATCAATTGACTGTTCGTCCGCTAAACGTGCGATCATTCTACATTCCGGACTAGGCTTTGCAATTGCAGAAGTGTGAGGCTTGATGAATGGACAGGAGACTCGACATGTTCTGATGGAAGCGGTTTGCATCAAGATAGGAACTGCCTTTCCACACACCCCCGCCGGTCTAGATTCCGCAGCACGCCCTGACCATGCTTTAAGCGCGTTCTAAATGCGTATCCGTCGATTTTTTGCTTGCCAGGAGGGTCAAGCTCAACCCAAGCCGGTCAGGCTAGGGCTTCCTTCCGGCAGCCGCACACGTAAGCCGCCCTGCTCACTTATGCCGGAACTTTTCAGTCGGCATAGAGACGCTGATTGTTGAAGCCAAACATAAATATGGTGCAGTAAACGAATCGCTGAGCAGTGCCCAATGTAGCAAAGGTCGTTGGCAGGCAATTACGCGGTTTCTAATGTCAACATAACTGCTGATGTTTCAATGCCCGTGTTACATCTGGTTGCGGAGACGTTGGCTTCCGGCGTATCTTGGCGGTTTGTCGCATGGGCTGTGCGTGGTCAGCTCAAATCCCGCTTGGAAATATTACTCCAATTGCTTTACCCTACGGTATAAAGTGGATGGTCTTTCAGAATCAGTCCCTCTTTCTTCGGCTCGTCATCCATCTCTGTGGGTGGTCTGAGCCAAACAAGGCTGACCTTACGATTGATTGAATGCATCAAGTTGTGCGAGACCCATATGCTGACGTTGCGCTGACGCCACCGTCATCTTTCCGTTCCCAGGGCTACTCCCCGGGCTGCACCCCGAGTCAATCGAATGCGACAGCCCGGGTGCCAAAGGCCACTCGTGGGATCCCCCAAACGAACTCAAACATGCCCGGGGGATCCCCCACAAATTCCAGCCAAGCCGCCCCTTCTCTCTGCGGGTCGGCGAGTCCGAGGTGCAACCGGTTAAAGCTCAAACCGGGGAAGCGTACCGACCGTCAAACTCCGGTGTTAGTAGGGGATCTGACGGGGCCCCTCAACCGGTGAAACTCTCACGTAGCTTGCGTCTGCTCCAAGCGGCAAAGGACATCGCCGATAAACGCGCCGAAGCAGAGAAGCGCGCCGCAGATAATCCGAACCCGAGCCCGATAACCCTCCCGATAACCCTCCTTAACCAGAACAGGGGTTTGGGTCAGTTTGATTGGACAGGAAGCGACAGCCCAGTAGGTTTGAGGGGCATAGGCGAACGGGCCAGAGGGATAAGCGGACGGGAGAGGGATATAAGCGGGGGTGAAAAGGGGATAGGGAGGCGGCCGAGTCTGGACGAGGTTACGAGGGAGAACACGCGGCTCAACTCGTTCCGGTTGCACTTCCCGCCCCTTCCCCCGGTGGTCAGGAAGAAGAAGCGACGGCGGTTTGTCATGCGCATGAAGAACGCACCCTGTAACCGGTCCGGTAACGAGTCCCTTAACCCGTCCGGTAACGAGGCCCTTAACTCACCTAGCAACGGGGCCAAAGTCGGAAGCAATCCGTCCGAATCAGGGGGAAACAAAATCGCAAAGGGGGTGGTCTCGCCTGGCGTTTCTCCGCCCGGGGAGGCGATTCACACCTCGCCCAATTTTGCACTCGCCTTTCCCGAGTGTGTCAAGTCGGCAACCCACCTCCCCGATTCCCCCTTGTCACCCAGCCCCCTGAAAGCCATCCCCTTCTCCTTGTTGCTCGACCTGTCCCCCTCTCCGGAAAAGGCCAGCAGCGACTCTGATGACGTCACTTCGGGTCCGGTGACGTCGGATGACGTCACTTCTCAGGACAACGGCCCCCCCAGGCAAAGGCCCTCCGTAAGCGGCGGGTCAATGAGGAAGGAGAGCCCCGTCCTCAAGGGCCCCGCAGGCTGCGGCAGCCCCCTGCGAACCTCTAGAGGTTCCGGGTGCCCGAAAAAGAGGGCGGGGACCTCGGGGGGAACTCTGAAGGGTCCCCAAGTTTCTTGGGGCGCGGCTGCGGCCGAGCCCTGGGGAAGCGAGGGCCCGCAAGCCCTGAGGGGTTTGCAGCCCGGAACCACTTCGGTTAAGGGGATCCTTAAGAGAAGGTCAAGCTTGTCGGGCGACTCTGGGCCCCAGTCTCGGAGCGTTAAGTCGCCGGAAACAGTGAGCAGAGGGGCGGAGGAGGCCGTTTCTGGGGCCTCATTGGAGGGTGAGTTTCCCAACTGACAAATCTGAGTTGAAGGAAGGCCGGACATGGGTAAAACATGAAGGTTATTGGAATTGGCTGATCGGGATCGCGTATTGAATATTTCGTTGTTTTCGTGGGGGAAATCAGAGACACCCATCTAACAAAATGAGTGATCACCATCAATATATTGGTGGTTAAGCAGTTTCATTCAAGGAGGAAACTGATCAAACCCCATTCAGTCAACCATCACTTTGCCACCAGTTTATCGAACAAACTCATTCAGTCTGGTTTTGCTTTCTTCCCCTGCAGGTAAGGCGCTCGAAGGTGCTGAGGTCACGCTCGGCGCTGTCTCGACACCTCCAGACTCGCAGTCACGGGTGAGTTTCCGCTCTGGTTGACAACCTCTATCTCCATGCAAATCGTCTTTCTATTCTTTTCCCCGGCGAGCCTTTCAAAGTCAGACAAACAAGTGCCTCCTACAATGCAAATCGTCTTTCCATTCTTGTCCCTGGCAAACCTTTCAATGACACACAAACAGGTATTCAATGACTCCCAAATTTTTGACTCATGTGAATGAGTCGAGAAGAGCACTTTTCGCGTTGTTGCAAGTCAACTGGGTCAGATCAAGCCGTCATCATCAGCCGTCATCTGCAAAAGGATACTCGCGATACCGAAGTTCGTGATGACCATTAGTTTTCAGGATCAACCGAATGTCGTGGGCTTGCACACGAGGCATCATCAGTGAGGAAGGATTGTTCAGGGCTTCCCTCGGCCGCAGACAAACCTCGGCGACTTCGTGTCTGCGACAGGACTTTCCCATATTGATCCGGTCACATAGGGCTGTCAGACAAAGTCTGACAGCTAGCACGTCTTTCCTACTTGAAGAACGTCAAATTGCTGCGCTCAGCGGTGGGTTAAACCGGTCTCTTCGTGCTAACCAGAACGTTGCTACTTGCAGGAGCTCAATTGCTCGCCGGAAGGTGTCTCCAAGGGGGAAGCCCACAATCAGATCAGTTCTCAAAAGGTGGGCTTCATCTTCTGTTCCCGTTGTCACATGGAAAAGGCTATGGGAAAGGCTATGATGTCATCATCTGTTTTCCAAACGATTGATGGGCCAATTCAGACGTTTTTGATGGATCGAGAGCGACAAAGTGGCATCGTAGAATGTGCGACATTGTCAGCCATATCGGATGATTAAGTTACTGTCGACGGAAGGCTTTCATTCGGTTGATTGAACAGAGACTGCAGATTTTCCCTGCTCTTGTAATTCAAGACCAAGACCGACTGTGATCAGACTTCTCTCTCCTCACTCTGGCTTTCCTGTTGCTCTGCAGAAGGCTGTGCGGTTCGCCGACGAGAGCGGCCGGGGCGAGCTGTGCCACTATCAGTGTTGTTGAAGCGGGCGGAATTCCGTCGTTGTAGCGAACCGGTTGCGGACGGAATTGGGTCTGACTGGGACCTTGTGTTGCTTGTACAGCCGCGCAGTGTTGCTCAAATTTAGTGTGCGATGTTAACAGTAAAGAGACGTATTGGACTAAGATGTGTTGGCCGTGATTGGCACGCGGCTGCATAGAGAGGCAGATTCAAATGCAATCGAGCATTACCATTGAGATCCTGTCAGGCTTAGTTGTTCAGGCCCGAAAACAGGATGACCACTTTTTTTGTCATGCGCACATGGCCCAACCATGAAGGCGGCCAGCTGAAAAATCCTTTACAGTAGCTCCACCCGGAGAGTGCTCCAAAACGCGGCCCGTTCGTTTACATGTATACCAAAGATTGTCGTTGCACCGTCAATCAACGAATTTGTTAGCTGCATGGCACGAAATCCTGCATCACAGAACTCTGTTGAGAGGATCAGATTGCAACATGCAACTTACGTCAGCTGCATTGGATGAATGATGTTACAATTAGTCGCGAGTACGTAACGGCCGCGCATAAATGAAGCCGCGCCCGGGGAGCTGCATGCATATACAGTGCACCGGCCAATCGACTGGCACGCGCTGGCACGTACGGGCGCGCCGCGGCCGTGCATATGCCACATGTGCGCATGCATGACATATACACGTATATATCATGCAAAACCGAGTCTGCTCACGCATTGTGACAAGCGCGAGCGCGCGCGGCTGCAGTCGGGCACCCGAACCAACAATTGAGCAGCCTGCACGAGACGGAAATGTACATGTCATGGCTGGCACCATGAGTGCGTGCCTACACAAAAGCTGGCTGTTAACTTAAACGGTAAACGGCCGGGCCAGGCGCCTACAACTAGTGTCTTTTGCACTGAGATCGGACTCATGATATACCGTCGTGCTCCAAGGCTCTGAATATGTAAACATGCCGCCATAATCCTGGAAAACATTATATACACGTCCACAATCATCCCCAAACGAACTCCACACTTTAGGTCCACAAACCATATGTCAAGTTCAGTAAGACAACCTTTCCCCAAAGCCTCGTTGTATTCGCCTCCTCGCAGTGCTCAACACACTGCCACGTGTCAGGTCATAGGAACATGTCTCGGAAGTACTCGTCGTACTCCTCCTCTTTGGACGGCTCCACCTCAGGCTTCTTGCCCGTCCATATGCTGTCGTCCGCCGGCAAAGACCCACCTGAAGATGCACCCAGAAATCTGGTTTGCCCTGATTGCTCTGAAACGATTATTTTTGGAGGGAATGGTGGGCGGGTTTGACAATGTGGCCCGCAGGTTTCGACGTGACGAAAGGGGAGAATAGAAAGGACCGCAGAAGGAGGATGCCAACTTCGAGTGCAAACTTTCTCTGCATCTTTTAAGAGGCAAGAGTTCAAGATAGGTTTCGCTTGAAAGGAAGAGCAAGGTTCCGTTTACGATCCTTGAATTGATCGAGAGTCTTCACTTCGGCATGCGTACTTGCAAGCAATTGTGCAAACCTGCCGCACTGGGTCAAAAGATGCACCACCAGAAAGCCCGGCACGTTTCAATCGACGCCTTTACCTATCATGAAACTGCTTCCCTCACGACACCCCAGTCAAAAACCGCCCTCCTCAGCGCGTCACCAGACCGACGCACTGAGTCAAAAGCTCAAATGGGACGAGAACTCGTTGTCAAAACCAAAGGGGCAGTGAAGTTTACCTGTCATTTGGGTCTTCGTCTCCGTACTAGTTCCGCCCTCGCCCTGGGGGGGTACTGCAGGCTGGCCGGAAGGGCTTCCGTCTACCCCCTCTTCCGCCGAAGCAGTGCCGGCATCTTCTTTGTCCGGACCAGGCTCTCGGTCCGAATCGACGTCTTCTTTCTTCCCCTTACTGTCCCTCCTGCAAGTCGGAAAGGAGGTCAAGTCGAAGCTTGCCCATGAACGGGACACTCTTTCTGCCAATACGAACCGACGCGTAGGCTATTGATCAAAGGGTGCAGAATAAGAAAACACATTGGAGTCGTGGTTGAGTGATTGGTATTGAATGCTGTCTAAAAGTACACTCCTTCCACTCGTCAAACGCGGGCCACAGTGAGTCAGTGGTGACTGCATGGAAGAGATGCATTGAACCGTGACAGAGTTTGGTCTTCTCAAAGCAGGCACAGACCCGGCTTAGAGAAGTGCAAGAGTCGGAAGTTTCGCTGATCGGATACCCTTTTGCCGGTTTACCAAATGTCTCGATTCTCACGTTGATGTTTTCAAATCATTTTCCATTTCTTATCAGGCCTTTACTGTTTTATCTCTACCCCTCCCGAGCACGGCTTGTACGAATGATCTGCTTCTGCAACCTTGTTGTCCGTATCCTTCTCCAGTTCCGTTTCCACTCCCAATCCCGTCTCATAATGCTCTCACCTTCGTCGCTTCCTTGACCTTCGCTCCTCTTTCCGCTGCTGCCGTGCGAGCTCCTTCTCTTTCCGGTAGTTCAGCTTGTAGGCGCACCTGAACGGAAATCGAACGATGTCAAACGGAACCGGAACGGTGTTGGGGCAAGACGTAATGGTATACAGCCAGAACGGAACGGAAATGGTTGGAGGACCTGGTGCGGATGCAGGGCTTAAAATGGATTCCGGTCAGAACGAGACTGAACGGAAACGCACGCTAGAGGAATGCTTTTGGACGAAACGGGGATAGGCAAAATACGGAAACGGAATGGCGTTAGCGAAATCGGAGCGGCCGATGTCCAGCCGTCGCATACGTCAAGCTGTCGCATACGAGGGCCAACGCCGTACTAATAATGAAACCATTAACCAGAGTTTAATCACTGATTATTCTGCTGACACGAGGAAGCATCAGCTCCATGAAGCAATTCTGGAAGGAGAATCTTTTCCACTCTGAAATGACAGATCTGTCGCTCACTTCGGACACAGCCGGAGCTTCACAAGCGCGTTCTTTTCCTCGCCGGCCTCCTTGTAAGCGAAGTTGACCTGCAACAAACGTCGTAGAAGAGCGTTCCATCTTCGAGTGAAGCTGGCTGTAGGGCACCTGATTCTGAGTTGGGATTCGGATTGCGTAAGCGTTGTGTAGGTCGCGCAACTTCGAATCAAGGAAGCCCAGGCGAGAGAACGCGCCCAGAAAATGCGACAAGGAGACGGAAGAAGACAAGAACGGATAAGCGGGTCCCCAAAGGACAGAAGAACGTGAATCGTGTAAGATTGGCATAACAAAGAGCACGAGTCGATAAAGTTGAACGGACAGCGAAAGGAGACGGATAGGGGAAAAGCAGAGAGGCAAAGCGACAGGAACTGACCGACAATAAGAGCGAGCCCAACAGCCGATTAAGCGCGCCAATCGACAGACTCCAAGAAAGACCGTGCCTACCCTCCAGCACCGGAACCCAGTGCAATCGTGTGGCGGATTGTAAAGGCCGGAACAGGAAGCAAGCGTAGGATGAGACAGCAGAGCGGACTCTCAAAGGTCAGCTAAGCAGGATGTACTGTGCCAGTAGAAGGGTTTGCAGAGGTTGTTTGCTCCTAACCCACCTCGTAACTACGGAGCCCGTTGCGCTCGCCGTGCTCCTTGTTGCCGCAGATGAACTGTCCTACGTAGAGCGACGAGCAATTCTTGTGAGATGGCAATGGAGATAATACCCGCAGCTTTATCCAAGGAATCTCCTGGGAGCTTTTTGAGTGGACGACGGACAACTGCGGCTTTGAAACCAGAAACGGAACAGCAGCGAAGCGGGAGTGTTCAAAGTTATGGGTTTGGCGATCGTTGAATCACAAGCTGACAGCAGGACTTCTGATGGGCTACAAAGGTTCCGTCAAAAGAACAAGAAGCTCGGCTGCAGAGAAGAACTCGATAAGTTCCTTTGTCTACAGCTGCTTTGAGTTGAAACAGTGTGAAAGAGTGCCCTCAGAGAAAGATATGTGACGAGCCGCATAAAGGGAAAGCTTTGGCCTTACCCTTGCCGGCAACCACTTCCTTCTCCGTCCGCCATCGCAAACCCACCTGCGAAAACCGGATTCATAATCCGGCAGTCCATGGACATCCGTTCCCCAATTCACGCGCGCTCCGCAGCTTGTGGCTGGCTTCTCACAAATTCCATACCCGAGATTGTTAGATGTTCAAGAGTAATTCGTCCGTCTATTGAGAAGCGATTTACGAAGTTGTCCCGCACCATCTTGTCGAGGCACCAGGGGATATGCAAGGGAAAGGCACAAGCATGATATAGAAGACCCCTCAAAAAAGAAGAGAGGTATGAACAAGAGCAACAATCTCCACCGAAAGGCGGGGGGGAAGTATGAGCCCCTGCGTGCTTGAGATTGAGGGGGGCAATGTAGGGCGATGTGTAGCTCTCAGCCGGTGCTCTTGACAGAGGACTGTTCCATCGCCCATCGCGGATCTAGGAGATTGAACGGCATGCTCGGCTTCTGTACACTTTCTGAAAGCGGGCCTACCTCCACTCCGGCAACTAAGATTAGGAACCAGAAAGCGAAGCCTCCTGAACGGAGTGTGAGGAAAGGGGGGGGGGGACAATAAGAAGATGACTGAACGGCATGCTCGGCTTCTGTACACTTTCTGAAAGCGGGCCTACCTCCACTCCGGGAACTAAGATCAGGAATCAGAAAGCGAAGCCTCCTGAACGGAGTGTGAGAAAGGGGGGGGAAGGGGACAATAAGAAAACAAGTGGACGAAATTCTAGTCCTTCACCAAGCGAGAGAGCCGCTTTCTCGATTGGAAAAGGGGACCGTTTTTCGAGGTCCGATCCCGCGTCAGACCTAACCCAAGCGGAACAGAATCGATCTGAACAAAGCGGAACAAACGATTCGGGGCTGACCTTGCTTTCCTTGTACCGTGACAGGTCAGCAATACAATACCTGCAGGCAATGAAGGGGCGTTTTGACGGGTTTGCCGCAAGGGCAGTATCTCATGCAAACAGACTCTAGCAATCTTAGCCACCGTTTCGAAAGGTCGAGGACTCTAACGTCTGGATAAGTGTGGGGATCTACAAGGATTCTTGATCGGCATGCAGAGGCTGCATCATTTGGGAATCAACAGGTCTTGACTGGGGGGCCTCTCAAGGGCTTCCAAAAGTAACAGCCAATAACGGGGTCAAGTAAAATTGACGTTCCAAGAAGGTTCAAGCCTGGTCGATTCCGTCCCGATACGGGGAAATGACAAGAGGTGGGCATTTTTCAAACTCACTCTTTGAAGAGTTTGTCGTAATAGCGTTTCGCAAGCCGCGCTTCCCAGGACGTGTCTGCGTCGTCCTCGTCGGACCTCAGGAACCTGCACATAGCTCAGCATAGCTCATTGGCGCTCGACGCGCAGTTTGCGCATTCCACAAGTATGCTCCCGGAAGATTTGTCAGATCTTTTGTGCGTAGGAATATCAGCCGACAGATTCCAACGGGCAGCATACAAACTTGTTGTTCGACCACTCCTTTGATCGCACCATAAATGGTCATGTCGTTGGTACAAGCCTGGCACACTATCTGCACGACAATCAACAAATCATCCTCATCAAACGTACAATGTGTACGTTACTGCCCCAATAAAAAGCCTTGCAGCTTTCGAGTCTCGTGCGCAACATTCCAGGAAGAATTCACCTCTGATGAGATGAGGGGCACACAATTCTAAGTGTTCCTCTCATGCTGCATATTCATGGACTAAAAGGGCATACAAAACTCAGAGAACTCACCGATAGCTTTCCCGCAGGATGTCGCTGTCTGTTTTGACAGGGGCTTTGGGCGGTTCGTACTTGCCATCCCCGTAAAACTTGACTGCGGAACCAAGTAAATGGTGGGGTGAGGACTCTATTGAATCTCAAAAGCTTCAGCATACCACCCTGAAGGATACTCTAATGATCCACATTAGAATATCATGACTTCCCCGGTGTTGCTAACGAATAACCGTGAGCAGGGCCAACATGGTGGTGTGAACTAGGATCAATTGCTGAGAACTGCTTTTGCCAAGAAGTTTCTTCCCGGCTGAGAAGGGGACTTGTGCAAGTGATGTGCTCTTCCCCAAGTGGAGTCCAGCATTGTGTTTGGTGTACAGATGCCCTGAGGGAAAGTGGCTCACCGTAGTCCTCGACAAACCGCTTGTGTCTGTCGTACGCGTTCAAGCCCTTGACATAGTCCTGATAGTGTCTGTGTTTGGTGCAGTCAAGGGTTCATCATTGGATGTCAATTCCATGCTTCTGGGTCGCCCACAATCTCCATTCACATAAGCAGCATTGCGTTCAGGATCCTCCTACTGAACACAATTTGAACGTGTTTAAACCCAGCGCACTGCACACATTTGCAATTCTAAAGCCTCCAGCATTGGGCTATTTCGACACAAGTAACCAACAAAGAAAAATTGATTAAACTCTGGATATGGGATGGTGAAGGATACTGCCTCCGTTGCTCCCTGGAAAGCACGTCATTCTTAAGAGCTGAAAAAGTCGTCATTGTAGCTCCAGGCTCCAGCTCACAGCAGCTTGAACAGACTGCTTGCTTCTCAGACGGAAGGATACGATAAAAAAGCTCCGTTCCAGCACCTCTTGGGGCGCACCTGGGCGGCTCTTCCCCTGTGGCTTCTAGCTCTGCTCATCAGCACGCCATGGCCGGCTGAACCCAGCTGAGCTGTATGAGGTTCAAGCTGACGGCCGCGCTGCATATTTTGCGGCCGCGATGGTTCGTCGGCCCTTGCGCGGCGGCTGGGCTTTAGACTCGAGCGCGCGCAGCAGGCGCAGTTGTGCTCGCGCAACCTCCAGAGTTAGGTCACGTGCAGGTCTCTATCCTTCTGATCGCCGTCCGATGAGTCGATCGACGGCTTTCATATCACCACGGAGCGACTAGTCGTTACAAGCAGTATGAATCTGCATGAGAGCGTCACGGTTCTCAGAACCGTTCTGTGTAGACTGCTCAGATTGATGAAGAAGGGAAGGCGGCACAAAGTCCTGCAGATTCAACCCTAATAAGTCTTAGATTCACAGAACAGCATTACGAGAAGGTTGATAAGCGCACTGGCTTGAGAAGGATATCTGAACACCCGCGATACGCGCCGTGACCGAAGACTACTGCTGACAGACTAACCCTTCCCTCCCCCGCTCCCCCTGCTGCTGCTGCTCCCTCTTTCTGCTTGCTCTGCTTGTATGTATCTGTATGCTTTGTCTCTCACTAACGCTCCCTTGTGTCTCATGCTTTGACCCCTAACGACATTCCTGTTTCCTCTGCTCCCGTTGGCCACGTGTTTCGTAAGAGAGTCCAGGGTGGATAGCTTACCGGAAAATGATGTATAAGACGCCGGTGAAGACCCCATTGGGCAAGGCCTGCCGAGAGAGGAGGGCGGCTATGGAGGAGGAGATGATGTCACCGCCGCTCATGATGCACAAGTCCGGCAGGAGGACCCCCATGAAGACGCCCAAGGCCAAGACGCCGCAGGTGCATTGCTGGGGCTTTGGCCAACCCTACAGTTCCAAGCAATTGCTGGTTCTGAAACAGAAGTTCTCTCACTGGCTATCACGCTTACAGAAATGCAAAGAGTTTGGCAAGTGAAACAGAATGAGAGTCAAGAAAGGTGTTTGTGGCTGGTCCGCTGCGGCAGTTCCACTTTCTAGGGCTGTATCCTTCACCAGGGTGCAGAAGCGATACGAGTCTGCATTATGATGATTCATTTCCAACTGTGCCCTCAGGGGCAGGGCCTACTTGGGTTTTTTTGACATGATTGGAAGGAGAGGCAGTTCAAATTTACAAGCAATGTTTTGTTCAGGTCCTCCTTCAATGAAAGTTCTTTTCAAATAAAGAAGTGATTGAAATGCATAATGTGCTCGAGTTTCCGGGAGTTTCTCACAAATACAGAATCATCCCACTGGCCCATCACAATCAGGTAACCCTTCATACACCCTGCTTTATACAAGCAAAAGAAGCAGACGGCAAGAAGATGCAACGTGCTCAATGCATCTACAAGCCTGAGCAATTGTAGTCCTACTGAAACCACCCCCCTCACATCCCAGGGCGACCGCTTCATCCCCAGCCGCCGCGAACTGGATCTCGACGTCGCGCACTTCAACCTGATGCGTGATTCTGCCAAGGAGAATGCATTCAACAGCCACCTCGACATCGTCTCCCCTACCAAGGAGGAGTACAAGAAGCAACTGGCGGGATCGCTTCTTCAAGTGGACCAGAACAAAGAGCACTGCAAGATCCTGGCGTTCAAGAACAAGGCGCCGGCGCCCCCGGAAGGGTTTGAGAACCCGATGCGCGTGCTCTACTCCCAGAATGCGGCAGGGGCGCGGCCGGCCAAGAAGGCCTTCCGGCACATCCCCTCGGTGAGGAGAAAGCGACAATTTGATGTCGGCTGTGTTTGTTTTGAGAGAGAGTGGGGCACATCTATTTTACAGAGTTCAAATGGGCCACTAAGCTCAGATCTTGTGAGTATGAGCACCTGGCTCAAAGAATTGGCCGGTAGTCAAAAGCAAGACCTGCGGCCTTAATCTGGGATAGGCATCTCTCCTTTCATCATCCCATCCTGGTTCTGCGCAGACGAATAGTTTTTCTGCCTGAGTTTTCCTTGACAAATTTTAGGAGTTTCCTCCTTCTAGCAGGTTCTCTAACAAGCTTCACCAAACCACTAAAGCATCCTATTTTGGTCACCATTTGACAGATCAGCTTGAAACTTAGATCCTCATCCTAAGCTCCGGGTCACATCATCGTGGGGTCAGAATCCCCCTTTGCTGTTTTCCCATGTGGAATCCTAAACCTTGATGATTTCCTTGTGATCCCCAGTTTTTAGGGGCCCCAGCGTTCTTAAGCTCCCTGACACCAGGCATCCTCTGAACTTCAGAGCACCAAATCTCATCAATGAACTCGTTCAAATCACATTTTTTCATCCCAAACCTCCCTTCTCCAGGCCCCAATCCACATCCTGGACCCTCGAAACAGTCCCAGGCACATTGGCCAAACCCGAAACCTAGCCCCAAAAGTAGACCTGTATTTGGACCCAAACTATAAGCTCAAAAGCAACCCTCAATCTGAAATTCCCTCATGCCCCCTACCGCACCTTCAACACCCCTGAGCTTCTGAACACAGTCCCATGCCCAGTCTCCCAAGCCCGAAAGCTAACCCCAAACCCAAACCTGCAGTCGAACTCGAAACACAGGCTTCAAACTAACCCTCAATTTGAAACCCCCCTCAGGCCCCCGACCGCATCCTGGACGCCCCCGAGCTCCTCGACGACTACTACCTGAACCTGCTGGACTGGTCTGCACGTAACACCGTTGCGGTTGCCCTCGGGAGCACCGTGTACTTATGGGACGCTGGCAGCGGCTCCATCCAGCAGCTTATGGACGTCGGGGGAGAGGATACGGACGATCAGAGTGACTATATCACAAGCGTGGCGTGGGCGGGGGATGGGAAGCATCTCGCGGTGGGGCTCGGGAGCAGCGAGGTGCAGCTGTGGGACTGCGAGGCGATCCGGCAGGTGAGAGTCCGTGGCGGGCGTGCTGAAAGTGTGGGTGACACCCTGAAGACACTTGGTCTGTCAGGAACTTTCGTCTGCATTAATTTCGTCTTCTCTCATACAGGGCAGGTCTCCCTCGGTTGTTTTGAATCCGAGGTCGAGGCACGTTTGCTTTTATCGTGCCTCTTTTCCATTGAGGGCAGGCCTCCTTATGTTCCTCCTTCAGAGTTGTCCCTCTAAAGCGGCATCAATTGAGGACGTGCAGAGGTGGAATCTGCTGTTCTTTGATTCCAACCTTCAAAAGTGTTTGAGCGCTCGGTCAGCCTGAACTAGCCCGTCCAACCTAAAACAAAGTCGGCAGTCGACTTGCTGACGTCATCAAGCAATCAACGTGTTCAAAGTTGAGCCAATTCCTCATAGTACCATTTCTTCTTTTAACCCAGGTCCGCTCCCTGCGCGGCCACTCTGCGCGCGTGGGCGCCCTCTCGTGGTCCGGCCCCACTCTCAGCTCGGGCGGCCGCGACAGCCTCATCCTCAACCATGACGTCAGGCTGCGCGAGCACGTCACGGCATGCATGACCGGGGCGCACGAGCAGGTATGCATCGATCCGCTCTGAAAGTGTCATTGTTCCTTGCCAAGCGACTGTTGGCTCACCTTTATTCTTCTGAATAGTCACCAGAAGTTCAAGAGCTTTCGACTGAGACCACGTTGTGAACGTGCTTCGATGGGCTTGCTTGGATCCTCACCTTTGAAGACTACTCTTTCGTACTAATTCTTCATAGCGACGAGTTCCTTGTCTCCCAAAACGCCCAGCAGGAGATTACTGAGTTGCATGTTCGCCCTCCCATTTGTACGGATCCCCTATCTCTGATTCGAGGACTTGCCTATCAACTTGCCCGTCCTATCGCGTAAACAAACCTTCATCGCCTTTCAGGAGATCTGCGGCCTCAAGTGGTCCCCCTCGGGCGCCCAACTCGCGAGCGGCGGCAACGACAACTTGCTGCACGTGTGGGACGCGGCGCAGTCCGCGGCGCCGCTGCACCGGATGAATCAGCACCAGGCCGCCGTCAAGGCCCTCGCGTGGTGCCCCTTCCAGGCCAACCTGCTCGCATCGGGGGGGGGGACAGCGGACCGGTGCATTAAGTTCTGGAACACAAACACAGGGGCCTGCCTCAACAGCATCGACACGCACAGCCAGGTGGGAAAGGTTTGCGAGTTCTCGTGATTAGGTCGCTCGATCTGTAGATTTACTGGTGACTATCACCCAAGAACAGCGATCTTAAGAAGATGACCAGACCTTGATTCGAAGGCTTTCGGCTGAGGCAGAAGAGCTCCGGAATAACGGGTCTGCCCTGAGGGTGATTTTTATGAAGAGCTCGATGCTCGATACACAGATTACAACCAAGTCAACCAACACCGAACCAAACATCTGACCTCAGAATCAGCCGACTTCTAACTTCAGCACGGCTTCAGAAAGGTCGTCTCATTCCGCTTCCCCTCCCCCAGATTTGCGCGCTGCAGAGCTTCTCTACCGACATATTCCCCCCCCCTTATTTTTGAAGGACCTGGAAGCTGCGTATGACTTAATCTCTTAGCAAATATGGAGGTCTCCCTCCATGTCAGCCGACTTGCTTTCAAGGAAAAGGCTTCAGATAGACCGACTCTGACTTTTGCGTCTCTCCCTTCTCCCCCCCCTCCAGGTGTGCGCGCTGCAGTGGTCCCCCACTGAGCGCGAGCTGCTGTCGAGCCACGGGTTCAGCCAGAACCAGCTGTGCCTCTGGAAATACCCCTCCATGGCCAAGGTCGCAGAGCTCACCGGCCACACTGCGCGCGTCCTCCACCTCGCGCTCTCGCCCGACGGCACCACCGTCGCCTCCGCAGGTGCGTCAGCGCGGCTATTATATTTTCTAAGCTTCCTTTCTTGAATTCTATCTGAAACGGTGTCTACAAGCTATCATTTTGGAGTTGGTTAGCCCGCAGCCTAACGATTCATCTTGCACGGATTTCGAGAGATGTTCATTTACGAACGACTCCCCGCCTTACTCCGTTTTTTGCCTGCCTGACTCTTTTGTCGCTCTGTGAAAGTCGAGTCCATGTGATACACCCTCCACTATAACTTCGTCAGGCGTCCGCATTTCTCTGCTTACACGTCCGAGAAAGTCCACTGCTTTTCTTTGCCAGGTCTTATGGGTTGCGTTGCTCTTCGACGCCTTCAGAGCTTGCTCCGCTCTCGCAGCCCTGTTCCGTTCTCAACGCTCCGTTCCGTTTCCGCCCTGCAGCCGCGGACGAGACCCTCCGCTTCTGGAAGGTCTTCGCGTCCAGCGAGGCGACCAATCCCAAGGCCAAAGCCGCAGCCAAGGCCCAGGACTCCCGTTCCGGCCTGCGCAGCATCAATATCCGGTGACCGCCGGAACGGCGGAACCACCCCGGAACCGTGTCTGTGGACACGTGGCTCCTCTGTATTGCTTTGTCTTGCTTGCTTTCTTGCTTTTTCTTTTCACCCCCCCAGCAGCAGCAGCATCCTGACCCCCCCGTCCGGTTTTCCAGCACGAGAGCCGACTTTCTAGCCGCCCTCGCGTCCCTAGTATTGGCTCGTTAGTCACCCCGATTGCCTGTGGGCTCGTTTTTGCTAGGGCGTCTTAACACCGCTGGATCGTCTCTCCTTCTGTCCGCTGTGTCCGCTCCTCTTGGGCGCTTTTACACCGCTAGATCCTTGCCTTTCTTCTCTCTGTCCTGCGTGTCCGCTCTCTCCCGGGCGTATTCACACCCGTAGGTCTTCTCCGCTGTGTTTCAGCTTACAGCTGTTCCGCTCCGCTAGATACATCGCTCCGCGGCGTGCTGCCCTCTTGCGCTTCTTTACACCCCCTACTACGACGTTGCTTCCAGTTGTTGGACTCTCTTTGCGGAGGGAGTTTCGACCCCTCGGTCGCTACCGGAATTTTGCTACGTCTTTATCCTGCGGCGGCCTCAATTTCTTTGACTAGTGAGACTTCTCTTCGAGGAGGGAGTCTGCCCCTCTCGGTCTCGCTACTTGATCTCTACAGTACTGATCTTTGTCTTACCGCAGTATTCTTACTTAGAGTACACGTCGACGACTGCTCTACCTTGTCTCCCGAGCCTCCTCCTCGGAGCGCCGCCCCTCATCTTGCCTATCCTGCTAAATGCTCACTGTTTTCTTGTCTCGCTTCTCTAGTTGGCTCCTCAACTTTGATCCTTGCGCAGGGTCTGCTGATCGCTTGCCCCGCCCTTCTCGCTCCTCTAGTTGGCTCCCTGCCTCTGATCCTCGTGGAGGGTCGACTGATCTCTTGCCCCGCCCCTCGCTCCGCTCTTCCGCTCGCTCATTCCGTCGGAATTTTGTTCCTTGCTATTGAACGATCTTGCCCCGCTGCCTAGGAACTGTCGCACATCGTCTCCCATCGTACTCTGATTGGTCTTCTCCTCCCTAACCCTCGCCTTGTCTCATCTCATCTCCTCCTACGCTATCCGTCCTATTTCGCCCCTCTCAAAACGATCTTCCTAGTTGCTTCAATTCCAACGTCTCCCCCCTCTAGTTCTCTGCATCCTCCGGCTTTCCTTGAGCACCCTCCGTCTTGACTGCCTCCTTTCTTTGTGGTCAACCTCGACTGACCGATCTTGCTGAAACCAAACCGAACTCGAACCGGACCTGAATTTAAGCTGGAAAACTAATTGCGAACCCGATCTAACCGAGCGAGAACCTGAAACCGCTGCCACAACTCAAACGAAACCGAACCTAAGTCGAACTCAAACCGAAGGCGAACCCGTCTCACCGAAAAACGAATCGAACCTGAACAGTGATCCCGAACCGTTGGCCAACTTGGAACCGAACCTGACCCAAATCTGCAATTGAATCGGTGCCGCAACTGGAACTGAAACTGAACCTGACTTGAATTGGACTCGAAGCCGAACCCCGCACCTTACTGGAAACTGAATAGTATCCGAACATTGACCCGAATCCTTAACTGGACTAGGTCGCACAAACCGCTCCCCTCCTTGTCTCTGCTTCCCCGAACCTGGTTGTTGCCCTTATTCGGAACCTGCCGTAACCTTTTCTGCCCTCGCCCTATCCTTGAATCCCTGAACCCGTGCTTTCTTTCATCGAGGATACAATAGCTGTAGGTCAGGAATTACTCCCATCTTCATCCACTTCAGTCCAAGACATAAGCATAAAGGTTAACATACCGAGAGAAACTTCTTAGGAACGTAGCCCCATAGATCGGCAACAGGTAGAATCTCTTCGAGCTTTCCATTCCTTTTGCCTACCCAAATATCCTACTGGTTTGAAGTTCGAACTCCTGCATAGCGACTGATTCTATCATCTTGACCTGCTGTAACGCTCCTATACGCTTCCAAGGCTCTCCTCCTAAATGCAACCCTAGCTCCGATCCTCCTGATCCCAGAGCTTTCCACTTCGCCAGCAATACACTCACCCATCTCGTTAGTCTGTCCTTAACGCATACATACAGGTTAGCACCTCCCCTAGTAACACTCCTCTTAACTAAGTCCGTCCTGCCCTCCGTCACTATACAAGCAGCCAGGACCTCCCCTGAGCTGTGCGGGCAGGCTTAACCCGGTCCCTAACTATACTCCGAAACGCCTGTATTGCTCAATACAGTCAAACGGCGTTCCACAACGCCACCCAACTGAAGGAGTTTTCAATATTAAAGGAGTCAAGCTAAGAAACGCTGATAGTGTCATTGTCCCTCTTATTAGTTGCTGCAATGCCGACGCACCATCTCAAGTTTGATTGCTTGTACAGACCCAAATCCTGGCTAGCTGACAACGTCTCGATCGGATCTGACCTCTTCTCTTCTTGACAATAGGCTTCCAGAGTAACGCATAACCAGTGTACGTAACTTGAAGAGATTCGTGTAAGCTTGATGAGCCGACCCGTCCGCGCGGAAAAAAAACCTCGAGTCCTTAGGTTTTGCTTTTGTCACCTATTGGGTGAGATTTCCTGAGGAGGCAAGTATGGAGGAGCTCAAAAGGAAAGTCCAGCAGGTTGCCCTGGCGGGGTCAGTGGTCAGTTATGCGAACAGAATTTGGCGAGTCTGCGTTCGTTGAAGGTTTCGTCGAAGCTTGCCTCGCGGATTGCACCTTTTCAAAACGTTTCTCAAGCGCAGACTACCGTTGTAATCGTAACATTAGTTTAAGTCCAGGGCGAACTTACCTTACAACGGGTGAACGTACTTTAAGGAAGATTTCCGCTTATAAGTATACCATTCGACTTTCCAACTGCAAGCTCTTGTCTTCCTTTGTTCCGATATTATTTTCAGGCAACTTCAAGTTCTCAGCACTCGTTGTCAACCGTCATTTGAATCCTTCAGTACATGAGTCGAAACTGGCCAGCGTTAGCTGGACGTAAAGATGCTGCCCACAGGAGAGTCGTCAGCTTAATAGTTTAGATGTCGCTGCGCGTGTCTGCTCCAATTGGTATTCCAATCAGCAAAATCAACAGGCACCCACAACTGTCAGGTTCCGTCACAGTATCTTTTTCCGCCGTTCCTTTGTCTTCGTCTGAGTCGCCTTTTTCCGCTTGCACAGCTAACCCGTAATCTTCTCATTTGATTGTCAAAATCTCCACCCTTTCCTGCTTTTGTTCTCACAGTTCAGAATGACCAGATCAGTGATCGCCAGTCTCAATGGACCACGTACCACCTCAGGCATTTGATCCGAAAGCTTTCTGCCTTGTAATCTTGGGTACGAATTACAAGATCGGATCGTGGGCAACAAGAAAGAGCTGCCCAAAAGCGGGCTAATGAAGCGCATGTACCAAAAGGCGGAGGCTTCTGTGCACTTCTGAACGAGGAGTCGGCCAAGGCTGCACCTGTTGTGACGCGCCTGCATCCCCTTCTCTTAGAGCCCCCAGCCTCACCAGCGTTTCGATCTTAATTATGAAGAGGAAGGGTCACTGGGACGGGTGGGATTGGTTCGGGGTTTAGGTACGTGGGTCCCGGTGCAAAGCGTGTAAACCGTTGGTTTAGGATTTTCCTTACGTGCTGCTGTTACCCTGCATAGAGTTTACCCTTTATAGAATCGAGAAGTACCCACCGAACCCCCACAACCTGAAGGCGCTCTCTCGCAGCGGCGGTCTGCCAGTTGCAGCCGCAGCAAACAAGCGGCCTGTCACAGTTAGCCACGTGTCCCCCACGTCAGAACCACTTACCGCCCGCCCTGCTGTTGTCTCGGGCGGGCTTCGGGATGCACGCCGAGGGCGGTCTCAATCCGCAGCTCATGTTTTCGAGGACTCGCAGCTGCAGTACAGTACGAATGCCTTAGGCCGATAGAGTTCGGGAGGGATCCCTTTGGTTCGCCCGGCACTTAATGGGGGACGCCGAGAAGCCAGAGGGAGCGGGACTTCGTGATTGCCAATAATTAGCGCCTGGTTACAGAGACGGAGGCTCAAGAGTGGGTATACCGTGACGTAGTAGAAGAGGGCGGAATTTCTAATAAGCTGACAGGTCGAGTCTCCGTTTGCTTTTTGAAAGTGGGCAGAGAAGCGCGAGAGGAATATGAGGGCCGTCGCCTTTGATAGTGTGAAGGTATAGACCTAGACTCATTCGTGGTAGGCACGTCCGACGGAGGTGGGCTCGCGCCTGCCCAACTCATGAAAGTAAGTGACGGACTGCAAGGATCCGGTCACGGGTCAGATACTGATTTGGAAGTGCCGCATTGACAAACTTGTGAACATATATGTATTGAATGGGCGTAAATGATTGATAGGACTTTGAACAGGCTTACTAAAGCTATGCACGATATTCGGAATTCTTAGTTTCCGTCCTTAATGATATGGTTGTCAAAAATAGTGGACGTACGCTCATTTGAACTTTTGGTTTAGCGCAGTTAGAGGTAATTTGTAATTCGGATCACTATCACTGTAGGCAGCTAGAGAGCCTCGCGCTGCATGGGGCCCCAAGCTCTTGACGGTCACTATCCAAGTCTTCTATAAATTCCCGCGTCACATTATCAACTTTAATGCATGGCATGTGTGTATAGGTTACAGTAGCATATCTGTAAATCCCCGGGCCAGCTCACATGCAGAGCGTGAGTCCCTTTTAATGCAACTCTTTCCATGCCATTGTACGGTCACATGCCCGGAGACGAATCAGGGTGACAATTACTGGTCAATTCTACTGAGAGTAAGTGGTGACAGACGGGACAGACTCGGATACATGAAACTTCTCGTGCAATACATTTTGCCCGTAACCAGCTAGGGTTTTCCATACGGTTAGCCTACTTAGCTTACGTTAAGTCTTGGTAAACTATGTCCAGGCTTTACTGCAAATTAGACCTACATCTGTAAACTGACGAACAGACAATTGTCACCGCCACTTTATAACCACTTTCAGATTAAGAATACTAATGTTAGTCAGCTGTGAAATAGTTAGTATCGTGCTTGCTCTGAAAAGGTATGTTTTTTGACTTGGACATTCACGGAAGAGAGTAATTGTGAACTTTTAGCTATACTCCCAATCTCTCTGCTCGTCATCACCCTTCGACTTCTATCTACAACCCAGAATAGCATCCACCTTGCGGCCCTTGCTAGATAATTACAAGAGCTAGTCAGTCACGTACCCCGTTGGAGCGCACACGCTCATATACGTACACACGCTAACACCCACATAAAAACCTGCTTCGAGCCGAAGAGGCGCTGGAATATTGCCAAGTCAAAATAAGCCGTTCTTGGTAACTTCGATTCCGATAACGTCTCGTTCTTCACTGTTGCGTAACCGTAAACACACTCCCTTCCTCCGCCCTCAGCACCTCGCACTCCAAGCGTCATTCATTGCGTCAGCCCGTTCATCCGGGCAAACCTGGTAAACCGCGGCGGCATCCGCCTCGAAGAGGAGTCAAACCCGGCTATCCCGGGGTAGTCTTCCGGCTGAGCTTCTCCCCCCCCCTGCATCTCGATCTCCTGGCTGGAGCCCCTCCATAGCGGGTCGGTCCCTGATGAGGTGTCAGAGTCCGGAAGGGAGGCCTGAGACTTGACCTGCTTGACACCGTGCATCGCAGTTGAAGGGGCGCTGATACCGGTCGCCCGGTCGATCCGCAGCTGGAGAGTGTCAAAGAGGAGGGCGTCCGTGCCGCGCCACTCCACCAGCAAGTGGCGGTCCGCGGTCAGGGCCTTGCGTCCGAGGCGGTTCGTCGCATCGCTCCTGTGGAGGTTGAGAATGTTAGGAACTCGAAATACGATTGATGAGGAGCTTCGCAGTCGATCTGATTAGGGGACAAGCGACCTGACATGCTCTTCGGTTCAGGTTATTAAGGTACATGTTGAGACTGTGAGGGGTTAAGAAACCTCTGACAAGAGCTTCGATGCCATTGGTCTGAGAAGGGGACAAGCTAGGCGACCTGGCTCGCTTTTGGTTTTAGTAAGGTCGGTCTTTGTTCCCACGTTATAAGCGTACAGGTTAAGATCAGTGAGGGGTTAGAAAGACCTCAACAAGAGCTTCGCAGTCGATCTGAGTAGGGGACAAGCGACCTGAGTCGGTGTCGTTTTAATTGGAGCGGCCGTTGATCCATGTTATGATAGTACAGGTTGAGTTTGTGAGGGGTTGAAAAGCCCTTAACAAGAGCTTCGCAGTCGATCTGAGTAGGGGACAAGCGGCCTGATTCGCTTTGGTTTAGTTGGAACGGTGTTCAATAGACGCTCTGATTGCATTGTTGGAGCTCACGTGAAGTTTCAGATTAGAGCGGAGTGATCAAAGATCGCCTGTACCTAAAGCTCCTTGGTGCCCTCAACAATCGGAGAGAATAAATGGCTTCAAGATACTCTGCTATTGGTTGGACATTCCAAACACGTGATTGGTTTCGCCACCAGAAGTATTTTACTAATCTCTGGATGACAGAAACGTGGATCAGACTGAGAGTGGGCATCGTTGACCGGCAGAGCACACCAATGAGGAAGTTTCATTGTCGACATTCATCAACTCTCCTGAGTTGGTCCCTTTTGAACATAATGAAGCCGGATGCCTTGGGCCGTGGCTGCCACACTTTTATCGTGCAACGATCTTTGATTTTGTTTTTGATCGAGGTGATTGATGAGTCCGCTGCTTGCCTGCTTTCCGGCTTTTCCACGCCACTCAAAAAGCTGCAAGCTAGATATCCCGACAAAACACTTGCTTCGGAACCAAAGTCTGAGGAAAGCCCCTCATGCTCGCAAACCATTGACGAGGGAATCCTCAAATAAGTCAATCGAATGCTCACAAACGGAAAATAGAATAAGTTAAGCAATGCACCATCTGCTCCAGATCTCAGCGCAAAAGCCGCATAAACTCCGCCGGGTGATCTTTGAATGGGCGGCTTTTGCGCCGCTTAACGTACCTCAATTGAGGAACCAACTCTCAAACGAAAAGTCCGTTCCTTACTTGTGAACGTTGCTGCTTGAAAAGCTGACAACTAGCTCGAGATCGGCGCATCACCGGATTTCACACCTAGGGGCTAGACGGTAGGACCCCGTGCACCTTCACGAGCGACTCGACCTTGCGAGAGGGAATACCCCGACCTCGGCCTAGCAAGTGCTGAGAACAAGGAGAGGAGATTGATCGCAGGCACCCACTTGAAGCTGAAACCAGTGATCAAGTGGCTGAACTATTCTATCATGGGGGCTAAAGGAGTTCTGAGAAAGAGCGGGCTCACCTGCGCCGTGCGATTTGCCGAAACTCGGCCACTGCGGTCCCGACGCAGAACAACAGCGTAAGCGCGTACAGCCCGAGGCCGACAAAGGCCGTCGCGCGGGAGCCGCGCACGGTCACAAACGCGTGCGTCTCCGCCATAAGCACCGCCGAGTAGTTGCTCGGCTTATACTGCCGCACGCTCGTCTGCGTGTACTCCCGCACCGCGTCGAAGTTGCGCAGCGAGCGGGCCACCAGCGCGAGGTTGGGCGCGTTGAAGAGAGTGATTAGAAGCCCGGTGCCGACCGCAGAGAAAGCCCCCGCGGCGAGCTGCGGCAGGTGGCCGTGCCGGTAGAACTCGAAGCGCGCGACGAACTGCGCGACTATGTTGCCCACCCCGCTCGCGCACAGCGCGACCTCGACCGCCAGGATCGACGCCGCGTTCGCGGTTACGCTGTCCAGGTGCAGCTTCACCTCCGTCGCGCTCAGCAGGGCGGCCTTGTCCGTCTCGAAGTCGATGGCGATTTGGGGTAGGATACTGCGGATAGTTAAGTGGTTCCCGGCCGCGCATTCCGTGCTGAGTATCTCCGCCCACGTTGTGAGGTTGTCTGGGGGAGGGTTCTCCGCGTCCAGGTGGCCGAATGTTACCACGGCCTCTCGCTGCTGGCCGGAGTCCCCATAGTAAAGTTGAGCGCAGGTTGTATCAAAGGCGGTTGTAAGGAGAGGCCCGGCTTTGTCTCGGCCCAGGACACAGGAACATGCCCCAGTGCCATTGTAAGGAACGAGCTTGCCGATGAAGTCCGGATCAGAGCTCGGTTCACTCTTGATGCCTTCTACGTCGTCCGCGTTGAAAACGAAATTTGTGCTGCCAAAGTAGCTGGGGCTGCACGTGCCGTTAAAGCCAAGGGCCTGGATCGATGCAGGAACGCTGTCAAGCAATATCTGACCTGACCGTGTAACAGGGCCAAAGTCCATCCTCGCCAATAGCACTGTTGCCTGGAGCGTGGCAATCGTACTATCATACAAGGGGAAACACTCAGGCAGGGCATCTGTTGGAAGGTACATGAGTACGGAGAGAGGCACGGCCTCTGGTTGGGACCGCCTAACAATGATCCAGGGTCCCGTGGCCTCGCCGTTCAGTATGTAGAACAGGGCTACTGAGCCGTCGCATTGCGCCGCTGGAACTGCGTATGCTTGGAGCAGCGACAGGTAATAAGATCGGTCATTCACCCCCGCCATAAACTGAACCCCTTGGTAGCTCAAACAAGCCAACTGTGGCAAACCCTCAAACTCGGCAACAGCCCCAACGCTCGTGCGCGGGGCTGCCGAGCTGCACGGAGCGCGAGGGACGGACACCTTGTAAAAAAGCTGAGACTGATAAGTGGAGTCGTAATACTCGTTCTCCGTCGCCGTTTCACGAAGATAATTGTTGACTGTGACTTGGTCTGCATTGACCAGCCATTGCGTGGCGCCAACGCCAAGTCTCAAGTACCCAAGAACAGCATCCTGCGAATCCAAAGAGTCTGGAGACTTCAGTGCAACGACCCGACTGAGCTTGTAGCATGTGTCTTCTTCACAACGTAGAGGCTTGAAGAAGACCTCCACCACCGTGCTGCCACCCATAGTATTCTCGCTATATACCCCGCGCACCAAGGATGTCTTCTTTGCTGCGTCTTTTGGAGACTCCGAGGAGATACCGTTCACCTGAGCATACGCGTTAGATCCGCGGACGTTGCGGCCGATCAAGGTGGAGTAAAATACGAAGCCCTGTCCGTCGGCGGCAAGCCTTGTGAGGTAATATGCGCCAAGCTCGTTTGTGACAGTTGCAGGCACGGGAAGAAGCCCATCTGCTGACGCCAGGCCCGCTGCGCCGCAGAAAAAGGCGATCGCAACGAATGCAAGCGCGTGCGTGCCGCTGCACCGTGAGCGGAAAGCTGAGAACATGGACGCGCCATAACAGACAGCTGCTGGCTCCAAGAAAGCAGGGGAGATCGCCATGGAGCTGGAAGCGCCAATCCCCGGCGTAAACCTGGCTTTTGACTGCCAATATTGTGATTAAACAATTCAATCTATGCAGCTTCCACACTGCTGATAGGTATAGCAAAACAACTCTTTCGTCAAAGGAGTGCCTGAGGCCACCGAGCGGAGGATCGAGAGTCTATACAATCGGACTCACTAGGACTACGTCTGTCTGGTCTGACGTATGCACATGATTGCAAATCAAGTTAGCTGGCCGGCTGCTGTAGCTCTTTCCGCACACTGAGCGAGCGGACTGGTCGGTGAGAGTGAGATACCGGTAGGTATGGAAAAGTCAGGGTTTCGGTTGCACGGATCAAAGCTGATCAGCCATGCATCATGCATGATGGGCCCGCACATGCTGCGAGGCCTCCCTGATTGTCAGATTCTCTGACCAGCTCAAAAATAACGCTTATAAGTAGGTACTCCGGAACCTGTTTATCGTACATGTGTGCTGCCTAAGTACCGCCGTGTATCGGTGGACTTAGAGGCCTCTGTGTCAGAGTCCCGCCGGCCAGATCCGTAAAATCTCGGGCCAGACGATTGCAGTATGTACCTACCTAGTTAAAATGTCGTGTGTTCATGGTTGCAATATGAGCCTGAGGTACTACCGTACTGGGCTAGCTTTACATCGCCCGGCCCGCCCACAAAGGGTGTTGGTCTGGTCACCGGTGACCGGTCACCGGTGCGGCACCGGTGCATCCGGTCGGTCGGCTTTGTGAGCGCGCTCGGTACAAACTCTGGGTACAGCTACCCAAGCCCAGTGGCGGCAGGTACCACCGTACCGGTATTACCGTACAGAGTTCAGACCATCGTGTACACTGTACACTGTACACTACCGGTATAATCCCGGCATTCGAGTACTGGACGCGAGTACTGTACGGTGTACGGTAGATACCATGGTCGGCGGAGTCCGGACGCCGACGGTCCGCCTCGCATGCTCACTGGCAGTCAGGCAAGTAGTACAAAGAACTCAGTTGTAAAAGTGTTAACAGACAAGTGTTACCTGGGCCAGCATTCTGAGCCGCAAGATTGGTAGTCACCCGTACCACACGCTCGACTCCGATTGCAACTTCGAAAACTTGTGTTCAAATCCTGGTACCGGGGGAGCAAAAAATCTCTATCGCGGTACGTAGTATCCACCTCTGACCTAAATAGGCTGCGCAAGCCCGGGCTAAGAACGTCCACTGTCCGGTCAATTCAACCGGGCAATGTAGGAAGCCGTGCAAAGGCTTTAGATATTCTGGCCGTCTTCCAGGGCCTAAAATGGTCTAAAGCATTTCCAACCAGGTCCGATCACCTCGGCCAGGCTCTCCTAGCATTCACCCGACGCAAATCCGATAGGCTCGGTGATCTGGAATGCAGTGACCGGAGGTGTCAACAGCTGTTGTGCCGAGATTTTCTCCCGGTCAGACTGGTCAGACGCTGGGAACTAGGGGGTTGGAACACTTGATGTTCACACTTTTACAACTGAGTTTTTTGACCTTTTTGCGGCAGTCACCGTGTCGACTCACTTACCAGGGCCGACTGCTTTACGAAACACGACCGAGGGAGACGGTCGGCTTTTTCGGGCGACCGCCGACCCCCATGCCAGGTGGCGCAGGCCGCAGTACGGTACTGCCGTCGGCTGATATCATTTTGACTAAAAAGGATGAACAATCTG